TGCTGAGTGAACCTCCTTCTCTTTGGCAGCAATGGATTTGGCCAGAGGCATATGCAATTCACAGGGAATGTAACCTTGAAATAACTTTTTTTTTAAAAGATGCAAAGCGAATTCAGGGAGCCTGTTTTGCTTCTAAGTTTCTTTCGAAAGGAATTTTTTATTTTAAAATATACCCTAGTTGTAATTTCTCCAGCCACGCCGCTTTTCTCTTTTCATGCAGAATGTCTAAGCTCCTGAAGATAGCTAGTCCTCGACTTACGATCACAATTGAGCCCAAAATTTATGTGGTTAAGTGGGACATCTGTTAAGTGAGTTTTTCCCCATTTTTCAACCTTTCTTGCAACAGTTGTAAAATGAAACACAACAGTTGTTATGCTAGTATTACTATCATTAAGAGAATCTGGCTGCCTCATTTATTTTTCTGGTCAGAAGGTCACAAAATGTTATCACATGACTCTGGGACACTGCAGCCGTCATAAGTATGAATCAGTGTGCCAACTGTCTGAATTTTGCTCACGTGACCACGGAGACGCTGCCAGGATCGTTAAGCATAAAAAATGGCCGTAAGTCACTTTTTTTTCCAGTGATGTTTTAACTTTGAACCATCACTCAATAGATTCTTATAAATCCAGGACTTCTTGCATTTAGAAAAAATAAAGGAATACCTTTTTAATTATACACGTTATCACAGCAGCAAGAGTGTTATTTGCCCAAAATTGGAAAACAAAAGAAATCCCAAGTGACGATGCTATGAATGATAAAAAAATTTTTTCAATGCGCTGAATTAGATAGATTGACACTAGAATGAAAAGAGCAAGATAAACCAGAATGCTATAAAATATGGAACAAATTCTATTATTGGAGGGATATGAAAGGGAGTTTACAAAACTGAAATTAGAATTAGGTGAAATAGAAATGAGGTACAAAAATAAAACCTAAAATGGTACAAAGAATAAGTGTGTGTGTGTGTGTGTGTGTGTGTGTGTAAGTATATATGTATATGAATATATGTATATAGGTCTAGGTGTGTTCGGGTCTTTTCCCATGTAAGATTAAGAGTATCTTGGCGACATTTCGGCGAGGTCCCACTCGCCATCCTCAGGCTGGTGCTTTCGGTTTTGTGCCAGTGCAAGCAGTGTGTGATCGGAGCTGCCGTCTCTCTATAAATACTGGTGGTGAGGGCTGGTGTGCTGGGCTGGTTGGCTGCGCTGCTGCCTCAAGATTGGTTGATGGAGTTGATGTTGGTATAATGGGCTGCGTGATGGCCTTGTGAGTTTTGTTGTGGAGATATCCTGGATCTTGTGCTGAAATCTCCTGGGTCGTTTGTTTTGTAGTGATCTTTTTTCCATTAGCCTTCCGTGTTTTAACCCAAACACACCTAGACCTACATACCTGTACTCGTGAAAATCTACGAAAACACATATATGTATATAAATGTTTATATCTTTTGATCTTATCTAATGTAAAACGCATAGACTGAAATGTATGTCAAAAAGACCATCATGTTCAATATTTTTAATGTTTATTTTCAATAAAAAAAATTTTAAAATAAATAAATAAATGAAATGCTGCCTGAAAAGAGAGAAGCATAAGAATTTCCTGCCTTTTTCTCCTTTCAGTTTTGTTTTTCTCAGCCGGGATCGTTTTCCGAGCCTTGTGAACTTTTGGGCTGGTGCCCTCCAAACAACATTTAAGGAGGTGTCACCCACCCAAAAAGAAAAACAAAGTTGGGAATCTTGTCTCACCCCACCCCTCTGCGTTCCCTGGCAGCGAAGGAAGGAGTCGGGGCGGAGGCCAGCTGGGTTAAGCCATGCTATCCAGCCGGATTGTCAAGCATAGAGGTGGAATCCTCTTCCCCAGCCTGCTGAACCCAGAACTGGCTGGAGGAAAACTTTTATGGGAGGCTTGCAAGCCAAGGAACAGCAAAAGAGGGACTGTTTGGGGGCCCAAGTGAGTGATTGGCAGGCTTTTAAGTTCTCCCTTATCTTTTAATAGGCTGTGCCAGGTAAGCATTTCCTCCCAATGAGCAGCTTAGAAATACTTTTCTAAATTCGGTTTCTAAATTCGGTAGCTGGGACTGGGAATGCTTGCTTGTTCACTTACAAGGAACTTGGTTTTTCTTCTAGATTTGTGCATGTGTGTGTTTTATTTATACATTTTTCTTTAGTAAGCATAAAAACTCAACATCTACACGAACAGTATGGTGTCTGAGTACAGTTAGTTTTGAAAAATAGTAATAATAACATCTCATTGATGATAATCACATTATAATAATATTTGCTTCTCCATACAATAAACCTTCATTGTATATTCAATCATTCTCTTAAACTTTTGAGTTTCTAACTTCTGTTTCTGTCAACTAACCATTGGTAAAAATGAGTCCCATGTTAACAAAATATTCTGTTTCTTCCTTCTCCTTTATTTTGAGCATTAATCTGTCCATCCCTGCGCATTCTAATATTTTTTTTTAATTACGTTTTTCCTTTTTTTCTTCTCCTGGTTTTTAATTGTGCTTTTGATAATGCCTGATCCCTGAGTTTTATTGCAGGACACTGGAGTCTTTGGCCCTAGGAAAAGGAATTTACTCCCTGATTGTGTTGAGGAAGGGGATTCGAAGGTCAGAACTAGTAGAGTGTCAGGCAGGAGTGAAACATTTTTGAACTCTAGAATTTTGAGATAACATTTGAAAGCAAGCGCCTCCTTAATTCACTGGAGTATAAAGAGAGAGAGGGGTAGTTTAACCCTGTCAGGCTTGCCAATCTCTGAAGTCAACTTTCGTGGTCTGGTCTACCAAGTATCCCCTGTAGAAATCCTGATGGATAGATTATAAAATGTATCTTAATAATACGCATTTGTTTCATTAAAGCAGGGTTCCCCAAACTTGGCAACTTTAAGACTGGTGGACTTCAACAACCAGCTATGCTAGCTGAGGAATTCTGGGAGTTGAAGTCCACCAGTCTTCCAAGTTGCCAAGTTTGGGGACCTCTGAATTAAAGGTTAGAAAAGAGAGGTGGAAACTAGAAATTGGGAAAATGTTGTTATGCACTCTTGCATGACATAAGTGACTATAATTACTATGTATAAGCAAATGTTAGAAGATGACAGACTACTATTATACATGCTTACATAGCAAAGAGTAAGAGATAATGGAAAGCTATATAATACCTTTTAACGTGGGAATTGTTGTATTAGGGGTTAGAAATAAGAGCTAGAAAGTAGAAATTGGGAAAATATTCGTATGTATACTGCCACAAAATATAATACATTATAACTACAATGTATATGTAAATCCCAGAAGTTGAAAGATTATTATTATAATGTTTACCTAAATAATATTGTTGTTATTAATATTTTGTATAAAGTAAATTGACCCAGAAAGTATACTGTTCACTAAGTGTTTGTATATGTTGAAGGAAAAACAACAACCATAAATTGTAGATATATATTATAGATGTATGTTATATATACAGTATATACATATATGGTATTCAGCTTTGTTTGGGTATTTTCCCACATCATTATCGTTGAGCTTTTAAAGTTGTAGCAATGTTTCGGCAGAATCTCATCTGCCATTATCAGGCTTCTGTATTGTGTTTGTCTATGAGTCAGGCTTTCACAGCTGTTTCAGTTTTAAATTTAAATATATTATATTATTATATATAATATATAACATAACATAATAAATATATAACATAACATAACATAACATAACATAACATAACATAACATAACATAACATAACACAACACAACACAACACAACACAACACAACACAACATATAATATAGGCATGACTGCTGCTACGGTATCTCAAGTCCACAGAGCAGCTGCTGGTCTGGCATGATATGATACCGAGTGATTAATCATCTAGCAAGCAGGAGTCCTTCCTGGGTACTTATTAATCCTTTTTTTATTTTCTTACCCCATTAAAAGTTTGCAGGTCAGTGTTGTGCTTCTGCAGGGTTTCTGGACACCCAACAAGGCTTGTAACAGTCATGGGCAGCCCTAGGCATGACCTCTGTGTGGTTCTGCATTACACCCCTAAAGGAAATATTTAGGGAACTATTAGCCAATCCAGGCAACCGTGGCTCTCTTGGTTCTTAATGTTTTTCCATATCCCTTTGGAGCAAGGGAAGGGGGAGGGATTGGGTATGTCTTTGACTCGCTTGCTTGTTTTGAATCTGTGCTCTGACCTTCCCTTCCTCCATCTCTTTATGTGCCTGTTCTTTAAAGGTGAAAATGTCCCCCAAGAAGAGCAGTTGAGAATAGGGGAGAGAGAAAGGGTTGGGGTTAAGTTTGTATGGTACACAGTAGATTGTATATAACATACAGTAGTGTTCCAATATCGAAGGGGTTGCCGTGAAGAAGAGCCTGCCTATTCTCCAAAGCCCCTGAAGGCAGGACAAGAAGCAATGGACGGAAACTAATCCAGGAGAGAAGCAACCTAGAACTGAAAAATTTCCTGACAGTGAGAACAATTAACCAGTGGAACGGTTTCCCTCCAGAAGTTGTGGAAGGTTTTTTTTTTTTTACAAGAGATTGGACAACTGTTTGTCTGAAACGGTGTAGGGCAGTGGTGGCTAACCTTTTTGGGCTCCTGTGACAAAAATAGTATCCGCGCGCGCGCTCACATACCGGCACCCAGAAGGCAATGCATGGCCCCCATGCCCCGCCTGCACATGCGCGCACAATCCCCCCATGCCCCTCCCCCCCATCCCATTCCCTGCACTGCTTTGCAGGCCGAATAATAGGCCCGTTTCATCACTTCCAGGAAAAAGGCCTCAAGCCGGCTGAAAATCAGCTGGGAGGTGCGCGCATGCGCAGTGAGGTAAGTTTGCCTGCGGCGCGCGTTCCATGGGTTCACCATCACGGGTTTAAGGTTTCCTGTCAGGTCAGGGGATTGGATTAGAAGACCTCCAAGGTGCCTTCCAACTCTGGTACATGATAAAAGGCTTTCTTCGATTGTGGGAAAAGTTAACTTGGTTGCTTGTCTTCCAAAGGTTTTTCCTCATTTCAAGTCAACTTCCTCCATCCAGAATTTGAGCGGCGGCCTTCTCAGATCGTCTCGCAGGCCAGCATGAAGGTGGAAATCCTTCCAGCCCTCACAGACAACTATATGTACCTCCTTGTGGATGAGGAGACCAAGGAAGCAGCAATCGTTGACCCCGTGCAGCCCCAAAAGGTATTTTCTTCTGGGCTCCCTCACTTTCCTCTGGGAGTTCTGGGCATCCGTTGGCCGAGACAAGCGTCCTGTCTTTTGGAGAGCAAGATAGCTTGGACTACGTATTTCCTAATACTGTGTTTCCCTGAAAACACAACCTACCCCGAAAACAAGTCCTAGCCTGGCTTTTACACCTTCCCCTATTCCAAAATAACTTAGTTAAGCCCCGCCTACCATCTGATTATACGTGTTGGGGTGAGGTAGAGACGTAAAAATCGAGCTAGTGGGGGTGTAGCTGCCCCACGCGCCCTGTGCCCGCTTAACTTAGGACCACCGCAGTCAGGCCTCTCACACCCTGACACCTGTTCGCGTCACTGTCCCAACTTCTTCTGCAGCTGCTTGCAGACATTTGCTCCCAGGAGCCACATGACGTATTGTTCATTACGCCAGTAACGGCCCTCGCAGTAGGCCGCTGTGAGATTCGCCACGCTGGTGCCCCCACATGCCACGCGGCCTCCTGCCACGAGCGGCTGCACTAGCACAATGAGCCACGCGGCGTCTGGCTGTGGCGGTGTCAGGGCATGGGAAGCATGGCTGCAGTGTTCCTAGGATAAGCAGGCAAGACATCCCCCGAAAATAAGACTGGGTGCTTATTTTGGGGCCAAAAAGAAAATAAGACGGGGTCTTATTTGGGGGGGAGAAAATGCTAGGATTCATTCTTTGGATTGGTGGGTTGGCATTTCTTCACTCATTCCTTTGAGATTGGTGGGAGGAGGTGCTGTTTGGCCCAGCTGTTTCGAGAACCTGAGTCAAAAAGAGTCATTTAAGATGGGCATCCACTTTATCACGCAATCTTTGTTTGGTTTCTTCTTCACCAGCAATTTATAAATAAATAAGTAAATACCTGCAGCTATTTGGAATTACATATTGCAAGACAGTCAAATTCCATCAAGTCTCTAAATATCTTCCCTTTCTCCAGTAGTATATTCAGTAATAATAGTAATTCTTTTAGTAGCATGCTACTTATTTGAAAATTATGGTTCTTTCCTGATGGTTACGTTTGTGAGCGCCAAATGTGGGTTTCTAGAGACATTTCAGTACAAAATTTCAGTCTTCTGGTCGACCGTAGGGAGTTTTTTTTGGCACCTCTTGAGGTATTTTCTGTCTTCACGGATCGATTTGGTTTTACGGTGTAATGGAGGCATCCCACGGTTAATAGGGTCTTTCTTTGCCCTCGAGACTATGGACATTTAAGATGTTTTGTAAACAATACTTCCACTTTTCACTCTTTTTACTAGGTTCTGGATGCAGCCAAGAAGCATGGAGTGAAATTGACCACTGTGCTTACTACACATCACCACTGGTAATCCTTTTTTTAATTTTGTGGCTTAGAAGGTTTTGTACCTGAGTAACAATGGGCAGCGAGAGGGAAGCCCTATTTTTGGGGGTGAACCAGGGTTTTCCCCATGCAAAGGCTAATGTCCAGTTGAAATTTATATTTACTGAGAAATAAATAAAGGCAGACTAGTACAGATCTATTTCAAACCATTCAGCTCTTATCAGCTAGCCAAACCCTCCTGGGATTCAAACCTGGGATACTTGCATATCAGGTAGATGTATTAACCTCTAAGCCACGGGTTCTCCTTGCTTTGTCGACTAGACCAGGGGAGAGATTAAATGTTTTTTTTCTGGTGAAAAATGCAGAAGCAGTATACTCTATCCCATATTTGGGGAGACCAGGTTGCCCTGGTAAAAAAATCACTTAATGTCCAGTTTGTAAACACGTTCTCCTGGGCTGCTTATTCGGGTTAGATCTGCAACTGCAGACGTCACCCCGTTTCAGTTATTGCTGTCATCGCGACGTCTCAGACAAGGAACTCTTGAAGTAGTAATTTTCCAAAGTGGAAGGCTTTTTTTCTAGGAAGGAAAGAAATACTGACCTCTTTTCAAATTAACTGTTCATTGAGTTTGCCTTCGTGGAACGGAATGGGACAATTCGCTGCGGGACAAAAATGTAACTGAATTCAACTGAATTCTTTAAAATAAATTTAAAAAAATCATTTTAACTTTTGCCATTCACGTTTCATTCTCCCCCTACTTTTGCATCTTTTCTTCAGTGATTCTAGGCCACCATTTCTTCGATATTTGTAACTCTTGTCCTGTGGCGAGGTGGCTGTGGCAAGTTGGCCGTGGCGAGTTGGTCACAGCAAATGGTCGTAGACAGGGGTGGGCTGCTGGGGGTTCGCCGGGGTTGGGGAGAGCCCCCAGCTAAGATTCTGCACAGTTTGGAGAACCTCCCAAATCCCACTCCTGGCTGGCTCCACCCACCCCTCCCCTCCCAGGGAGTCCCCACCTGGCCTATTTTGGGTGCAGGTAAGGGCAGGGCCTTCACGGAGGCTCAGGGAGGGCGAAAAACGGGCCTCCTGGAAATTTGGGAAGGCCAGAAATGGGCTCGTTTCCGGCTTCCAGAGAGCCTCCAGAGCCAGGGGAGCCCGTTATCACCCTCCCGGAGACTCGAGGGAAGCCGCTGGAGCCCAGGGAGAGCAAAAACACGCCCTCCCCGCCACCGCGGTGTATGAGGCTGACTAGGCCACGCCCACCATGGCCACACCCACCCATCAACCGGGCAGAGAACCCTTCGCTAAAACTTTTGAAGCCCATCCCTGGTTGCAGACCCTTCACAGGAGGCTGTGGCCCTCAGTGGAAGTTTTGAATTGTACAACTTTTGAAATGAAATTTGGGGGTGGGTGGGGGGTCCTTTAGGCCCGTGGTTCTGCAGTGCCGAACTTGAGGGGATCACGGCAAACCCACAGATGTTCCGCAAGAGATTGAGAGGACCGTGGGTTTGAAAGAGGAGTATAATACATCCCTTGTTGCTTCCATGGCCCGGTTCCCAACGGCTCATGGCCCAGGAGTGGGGTGTGGCTCAGGGGTCGGGGACCAGGGGACCAACCCTGGATCGTGTTTGCACTGAGCTTCATATATTGCATAAAACACGCGAATGGTGGCTTGATGGTTCGCATGTTTAAGTTATAAAGTATTATACTGTAAAATACAAAATATAAAACTAAGAGGGCAATGGGGGGAGTGTGAAAAGGAGGGGGGAAGTGAGGAAAGCTAAAAGGGAAAGGAAAAAAAGCACTGACTTCCTACTCTCTCCGTTACAGTAGAATAAGGCATTAAGGACAAATCATAGCTTTTTGCTTTCCCATAATAGTATGAACCGGTCATTTATATAAAGATTGGTCAATCTAATCTGTAACGGTGTAACCTGGTGGCTCAGGGGCTAAGACGCTGAGCTTGTTGATCGGAAAGGTTGGCAGTTCAGCGGTTCGAATCCCTAGTGCCGCGTCCCAGCTTCTGCCAACCTAGCAGTTCGAAAATGTGTAAAAATGCAAGTAGAAAAATAGGAACCCCTTTGGTGGGAAGGGAACAGCATTCCGTGTGCTTTGGCGTTTAGTCCTGCCGGCCACATGACCACGGAGACGTCTTCGGACAGCGCTGGCTCTCCGGCTTTGTAACGGAGCTGAGCAACGTCCCCTAGAGCCGGAAACGACTGGCGCGTATGTGCGCGGGGAATCTTTACCTTTTATGAACCAGTCATTTTTATACAGATCTGTCAATCTAATCTACAAAACCCAAAGTCAAAGTATCATCCTTCATTACATCAAGCACAGTGACCGGTTAGCTGGATGGGCGTTTTGGGCGGATGCTTCTTCCTGCGTCTGCACTGCCTCCAAAGTCTTCTTATTTTTTTTAGGGACCACGCTGGGGGCAACGAGAAACTTGTAAAGATGGAGCCGGGCTTACGAGTGTATGGGGGAGATAGCAGGGTTGGAGCCCTCACCCAGAAAGTCTCTCACCTTACGACATTTCAGGTAAAAACAAAACAAAAAAAAAAAACGGGGAGGCGAAGGGGAAGGATAGTGTCAACTCATAAAATAGTTCTGTGGATCGCCACAGGCGCCCCTCACACGAACGACATCGGTCTGACCACGCCCTCCCCCACCCAGCCACACTCACCTGGCCCCCGCCCACTTCCCAAGGTCAAACACAACCCCGATGCAGCCCTCAACCATGAAATCGAGTTTGACACCCCTGGCCTAGCAGAGCAGAAAATCTTCAACACAGGCTGGCCAGTGTGCATCTTTCTAACTTTTGTGGTGTCTCCCGAGCTGTATCAGAGTCAGAAACGGTGTCGAAGCAGCATCCCTGTGAGTAACCGGAAGGTTTCCTCCCCTCCTCAGGTGGGCTCCCTCAACGTGAAATGCCTCTCAACTCCCTGCCACACCTCTGGACACATCTGCTATTTTGTGACAAAGCCAAACAGCTCGGAACCCCCTGCGGTATTCACAGGTAGGCTCCAGAACCAGAGCCTTCCAAACAGATTATTATTATTGTTATTATAATATTGTATGTTATATATAATATGTTGTATATAATATTGTTTTGACCAAGGCTTCCCGAGACCATAATCAAGCACGTGCTTACTTAAAACAAGTCTTGTTTCATTGCAACGCTGGGAATTATTTTCATTTCCAGCCCATAATGAGTCCCAAACAATCCCTCGAGATAAGCACCCACCTTTCTCTCCTTTGAAAGTGCTGCCAACAACTAAAGTGCCAAATTAACTGTAAAATGCCAAACGAAATACAAAGTCCACACAGAACTTCAAGGATTAATCCAAACAGAGCAAACGACTTTGCTTCCTGCAAAGTTTTCTCTACCTTTGCATTTCCTTTATACCTTATGGGAGGGGCAATCACCTCCAAGCCTTACTCCTGAGTCGCCCCATATGTCTCAGCTGCTCTTGCCTTCTGGCAGCTCTGTGCATATGCGCACTGGGAACAGGCTCCCCTTGTTCCTCTGCCTCGCTGCTGCCAGATTCTGGAGGCTCCAGAGGCAGCACCCCACTCCCAGATGGTCCTGGCCCCATCTCTGTATTGGACACAGGACCCTCGTCCGAGTCCTCTCCAGACTCCTGGACTGGTCCGCGTCCGATTCTGCTGCTGTCAGCACAGGCTGCAGGCGAACCATAACAGATATGTTATAATATTATAATGAGCCACAGTGGCACAGTAGTTAGAGTGCACTGCTGCAGGGCTACTTCTGCTGCCTGCTGGCTGCCTGCAATTTGGCAGTTCAAATCCCACCAGGCTCAAGGTTTACTCGGCCTTCCATCCTTCCGAGGTGGGTAAAACGAGGACCCGGATTGTTGGGGGCAAGAGGCTGACTCTGTAAACCGCCTAGAGAGGGCTGGAAAACACCGAAGCGGTCTATAAGTCTTAAGTGCTATTGCTGTAAGCAATATTTTCATAATAGCTTCCTCCCTGAAGGGAATCAGTGCATAGAACAAGCCGACGTTGGAAAAAAGTGTCAACAATAGAACCAGTAAAGGAATCAAACATTAAAAGTAAGCTTATTTAAAACAGAAAATCGAGTGGAAGGCAATCTAAAGACTGCCTTGTCTGAAGAAATTGGGACTCAACAGGGTGAGCTGGCCTGATCTCACTGTTCTTGTCTGGCGTCGTAGTGGGTTTCTGGTTTTTGAACCTCCTATTTCTTCCAGGTGACACATTGTTTGTGGCTGGTTGTGGAAAGTTCTTTGAAGGAACACCAGAAGAAATGTACAGAGCTTTGATTGAGGTCTTGGGACGCCTGCCTCCCGAAACGGTATTTTTTGTATAAATACTAAACCCCTTGGGGCGGGGGTGGGGGGAGGTTTCAAAGACAGTGAGCTGGGTTTATCTTCTCCTTCTTGTGCCCTGTCCATCATCGGATGTTGGCGATCCTGTTTTCATCAACAGCCACACAAAAAAAGGGCTGATGAGTTTTGTCCAAACCGGTCCCTTCTATTTTGAAGCCCTGGTGTCCTTCTTCTGCCTAGGGGATTAAGTGAAGGAGGCCATATTTTTCCGGGTGTGGCATCACAAAATAGTCTTAACTTTTGCTTTTTGATGGTGTTGATGATTTCCCTTGGCTTTTTACCCCCTCCTCATTTCTGATTTTGTCAACCCAGCTTATACCTAACAGCTGGATTGATACAGCTTTCTAAACAGTGGTGGGATTCAAAATATTTTAGTACCGGTTCTGTGGGCGTGGCTTGGTGGGCGTGGCAGGGGAAGGATATACTGCAAAATCCCCCTTCTCTCCCCACCCCACTAGCCTGCTTTCCAGCTCCGTTCTCCTGTGCAGGGCAACCAAAGAAGAACCACCCAATCAGCTGGGACTCAAATGGGAGGTGAATAGATGGGGTTGGCAGGGCCAGTCAGGGGATATTTGCCGGTTCTCCGAACTACTCAAAATTTCCACTACCGATTCTGTAGAACCGGTCAGAACCAGCTGAATACCACCTCTGCTCCATTCCCTCCCCACCCCACTAACCTGCTTTTCAGCTCCGTTCTCCTGTGCAGGGCAACCAAAGAAGACCCAGCCAATCAGCTGGGACTCAATGGGAGGCAGAAAATAGATGGGAGCGGGGCCAGTCAGAGGCGGGATTTGCCGGTTCTCTGAACTACTCAAAATTTCCGCCACTGGTTCTCCAGAACTGGTCAGAACCGGCTGAATAGCACCTCTGATTCTGAACCTGGGCTAGGAAAACAGAGTTTTCTACAGGTCCCGATCACAAAGGCCAAATGTACCTCTCTCTGGCCCCGTAAGACCTCCCACCCTGTTTTAAGCAAGTGAGGCAAAATAACATTGTCAAATATATACAGATCTGTCATTAATTTGCAATTGTTAAATAATTGTTTTGGAAAGCATCTGCGGAGGCTGGCTTGAAGTTTGGTGCCTTCTAATGTTCTCTTTTTCTGCTTCTTTCCTGGCTAGAAAGTCTATTGTGGCCACGAATATACCATCAACAACTTAAAGTTTGCCCAGCACGTGGAACCAAATAATACCGCTATCCAACGAAAGCTATCATGGGCAAAGGTAAGGTAGTTTGCGCTTTTCTTCCTCGGGGGAAAAAAATAGGAGTGGTTCCTAAGAGGTTTCGGCTTGCTCTCTTTGGCTGTAGGAAAGTCCCGTTTGAATTTCCCCAGCAGTTGAGAGTAGTGCGGTGGCCTAGAGGTGGAGCTCTGGCCTCACAGTCAGGAGGCTGAATATAACTCTGCACTGGCAACAAGAAGGCATCCGGCCAGTAAACGCTCAGCTCCATTCAGTTGCCCAGACGCTACCCTGCAAAGGGATTATGGGGTCATTAAAAGGAAATGATGATGATGATGATGATTAATGTAACAGTTGACCATCACAGCCCTCTGACTGGCCTTCTTACTATAGTTTTCCAGGATTTGTTCCACTCCTTCTGCCGGGAGGGGGAAAAAAAAATCCTTATGCCCACAACTGGTGCAACCGGTTATCTCTGATGCAGCTGCACGATAGGTGCGTCCCTCAAGGATCCTTCTGTTTGTTGGAGTTTTCTCAAGCTCTTCCTTTCTTTTTTGTAGGCCAAATACGATGGAGGGGAGGCAACCATCCCATCCACCATTGGTGAAGAATTCACATACAACCCGTTCATGCGAGTGAGGTAATTTCCCTGTGGCAGGATTGCAGTGGAGAGACAGCTCTTTTACCAATTGGTTTGGGGGGAAAATAAAATAGAAGCTGCCCCCTGACACTCAGTAGAGCAGCGGTCGCCAACCGGTGGTCCGTGAGAAAATTTTGGTGGGCCACAGAGAAATCTCACCCCCAGAGCATCCCACCAAAGCAATGAATCCAGGCTGCGCAGCCCACATGGTCCGTGGGAACGCTCCCCGTCCACTCACTCCTTACCTGGCAAACTTGCCTGCTAAATTGCTATTTTTCCTTTTTCCGACCATCAGCTGTTCTGCTCTGCCGGGAGATTTAGATCAGCTAGGAAGCAGGAAATGGTTGGATTTCTTGCTTTCTAGCTAGTCTTTAGATCTTCGGCTCTGCTTTTAAGCACAGCCGAACCTCCCTTAGGACTGAAGGTTCTATTATTCAGTGCAGACTCACAGCAAGCAAATTTGAGAGACTGAGCTAGCCGATGGCAGATAGATCGGTCACTGAATGATTCTGTGAGCAACTCAATCTGCCTGCCTGCTTTGCCTGATTTTGGGTACAAGCTGTTCTTTTTTTATTATAAAAAATTCAATATTTACATACAAGGTGTGTTGTGAGTTAATTTTGTGAGTTTGCTTACTAGCAAATTTTATGTGACAGACTGAGCTAGTGTTTGCCGAATCAAGTACCTCCCAGCATTCTGCCGTCCTGTGCAGCTAGGGACACAACCCAGAAAGAGGAATAAGAAGTATCCCCTTGCTTGTGAATTGCTGTAGCCTCCCCTGCCCACTGGGGGATTCTGGGAATTAATCAGTCCAACACACGTGGAGGTTGCCCAGCTGGGGAATATGATGGAACCTCTTTTAACTCCCAGGTTCAGAGGTGGTATTCAGCCAATTCTGACTGGTTCTGGAGAACCGTTAGCGGAACTTTTGAGTAGTTTGGAGAACCGGCCAATCCCACCTCTGACTGGCTCCACCAACCCATCTCTTCTCTGCCTCCCATCGAGTCCCAGCTGATCGGCTGGGTCTTCTTTGGTTGCCCCGCCCAGGAGAACAGAGCTGGAAAGTAGGCTAGTGGGGTGGGGAGGGAATGGGATCTTGCAGTATCCTTCCTCTACCACGCCCACCAAGCCACGCCCACAGAGCCAGTAGTAAAAAAAAAAAAAATTGAATTCCACCACTGCCCAGGTTCCCCTAATGAGTCTTTTTCCTTTCTGGACAGAGAATCAACGGTGCAGCATCATGTCCGGGAAACGGATCCCGTTCGTACCATGGGAGCCATTCGCAAAGAGAAAGACAGCTTTAAAGTACCGAAAGATTAAATGAACCAGATCCCCTGCTGCTTTCCTTTTCTTTCTTTCTTTTTCTTTCTGTTATTCAGTTCAGGAAATCGGTGTTTCATTGTTCTGTTTTATTGAGTTAATTCACATAATGGAAGTTGGGGTGAGGGGAATATCACCCAAAGCACTTTGCTGTTTAAAGAAAAAATTATTGTGCCCTTGGGACTCAGTTGCTTAATATTATCATTATTTGCATTATGATTATTATTATTATTATTATTATTGGAGTGATGCATGGAAGTGGTTTTTGTCATTGGGTTCCAATGAAAACAGATTTTCTTCCAAGTGACTTAGGCTTTCTGGGAAGGTGACTTGGAACCATCTGCCTCTGGAGTCGAAATGCACATTCGAAAGGCTCCGTGATTCCCCTAAACTTCAAAACGACCTTTCCTGCTACCCCAAATGCTCCTTCCACATCTAACACGTTTGCAAATCGGACAGCGCTGTTCCCCGGAGCGCATGTGCCCATCTCAGGGGAACGAAGCAGCAGGCTGGGAAACCCAGTGGAGAGGAGCCGATGTAGCAGGAACAAGTAAATAAAGAGGCGTTTGTATATCTTTAAATAGGAAAATGGCAATTGTTTGAGCAGCACAGCACTTTAAAAAGGAAAACAAACGAACAAACTTCAAATCTATTTTGACTGGTTGTGGCTTCAAACCAGAAGTGATTTTAGCAACTTCGAATATTTTTCTCAGCACTCTGGGAAAACTCTGAAATTTCAGGGATCCTTGTATGCTGGGGAAGTAGTGACAGTAGAAAACTGTGTATTCTTTCTTTCTTTTGGCTTTATTTAAGCTGCCGTGGCAGAGTTGCACTTGCAAAGCCTTCATTGTTAGACAACCTCCTTCTCTAAGCTTGAATTGTCATTCCCCGTTGATTCAGCTAATGTACATGTAAATAAATATTATATCTAATAAATATTACTTTAAGAGATCAAGACTTTGAAAATCTTCATTACCCCATCTGCCTTGGAAACCCCTAAGATGGAGTCAGGCTAAAGCAGAGGTCTCCGATCTTGGCAACTTTTAAGACTTGTGGACTTCAACTTCCAGAATTCTCCAGCCAGCAAAGACCCTCTAAAACAGGTGTCTCCGACCTTGGCGAACATTGAGCAAAATGATCTGCAGCTCAATGGAAATTTGAGGAAGCGGCAATCTGTAAGAGGATAAATAAAAATATTGCAATTAGGGTTGGGGATCCTGTGCTGACTGTGTTAATGGAATAAACTATTGAAACAAGCCTGAAAAAAAGAGACAACTCAAGGCCTCCAGTTTCCATCTATCCTCATTTTTGCAACTTCATTTACTGGGCTTCTTGAGGATAAATCTGGGTTCCCAAGTAATGAAAGTGGCTGTCACAGAGAGGAGGGGGGTCAAGCTGTTCTCCAAAGCACCTGAAGGCCGGAGAAGTAGTAATGGATGGAAACTGAACCGGGAGAGATTCAACCTGGAAATAAGGAGAAATTTTCGGACAGTGAGAGCAATCAAGCAACGGAACAGAAGTTGCCTTCAGAAGAGCTTCATCCCTGGAAGCTTTCGGAAAGAGACCGGGCAGTCATCTAGCGGAAATGGTGTAGGCAGGGTCTACTTAGGTGGGGGGTTGGACTAGATGACCTACAAGATCCCTTCCAACTCTGTTAATCTATTAATTCATCAGCGGAACAGCCTGCCTCAAGAATTTGTGGATGTTCTTGTCACGGGAAGCTTTAAAGAAGAGCAGACAAGCATTTGGCCAGGATGGTCTCCTGCTTTGGGCAGGAGGTTGGATTAGAAGACTATCATGGTCCCTTCCAGCTCTAGGATTTTATGAAGCCACCAAGTCATCTCTCTTTTGTTTACAGAGGGCAAATTTTAATTGCCTTTGGTCTCCAAAAACTTAGTAGGTTGCTCACTAGTTTACTTTGGGGTGGAAAACCACCAGGGAATATCAGAGTGGTTGCCCCTAGAATAACAAGAGTTGGAAATTGGAAGGAACTCTGGAGGTCTTCTAGTCTAACCCCATAATAAACTCCATAATAAAGTCTGGACCGCTAGGAAACAGGAGGGTGGATGCGTGTTCTCAATTGTTTCTTTTATAGTTGAAAATCAAAGAATGTTGGAACAGAAAACAGAACAGGATAGGCAAGCCTTGGAAGGGACCTTGGAGGTTAGAATGGAACAGGAATGGAGAAGGGAAGAGGTGAACAGACAGTAAAGAATAGAATAGAGAACAGAAAAGAAGAATAGTTGTAAGGGACCCTGGAGGTCTTCTAGCCCAACCCCCCCCCGCCCCCCCCCCCCCCCCCCCCCCCCCCCGGCTCAAGCAGGAAACCCCGTAGCAGTGCTCCTCAACCTTTCCAGTTTGCCGTCCCCGCCCGCGGCTCTTCTGCGGAGAAGAGGCGTTCTGCGCATGCCCGGAGGCAAGAGGGGAGGGAGTGGGCGGCGGAGGCGGTTCCACCCCGCCTCCCGGAGGGCGGGGCTTTTCGTTGGCTGCGGCGGCTCGCCAGGCAAGGGGAGGGCAGAGGGGGCGTGGGGGGGGGGAAAGGTGGGGAAGAGTCGCGGGGCGGGGGTTTAGCAAAGTCTCCCGTGGGGGGGAAGGGGGGGCTGTGTAGGGCCGGGGCAGCTTGGCCTCCCAAGGCAGTTGTTGTTCCCAGCAGCTTCCTCTAGACAGGAGCGGCGCTTGGCCGCTTTAAGAAGCGCGGACTTCAACTCCCAGGATACCCCAGTCGGTTGCCTGGGCTGAGGAATTCTGGGACTTGAAGTCCGCCCATCTCAAGAGTGGCCGAGATTGAGAAACGCTGGGCTGGAGGGTCGAGAGGGTGGCTGGCAGAGCGCCGGAGTTTCAGCTTCTTGGGGGTAAAATCACCCCCTTCGCTGGTTTCCTCCCGCCAAAGGTCGTGGAGGGGCCCTCGGGCATCCTTCCCCAGCTGGAATCCATTCGATTCAGCTGGAAGGGACCCTGGAGGTCATTTAGTCCAGCCCCCTGCTCGAGAAAGGAGACCATTTCAGACAAGTGGCTGTCCAGTCTCTTCTTCCTCTGTCCTTCTCATATTGGACTCCCAGACCCCCATTTTCAGTCCATCCCTGCCCACTGGCCCAGTCCAGACTGAAAGCACTTTCGCCTGAAGTAGCTGGTCGAGGCAGGAAATACAGATTATACAGAATAATAAATGCAGAAGCGCACCATCGCGCTTACCGTCCCCTGTCCTTTTATTTGTACCCATTTCCTGTATTCTTACTCATGTTTATACTTATACCTATTATCTTGTAAGCAATTGACAAATCAAATCAAAATACAAAATAAATAGAATAAGTGTCAGAAGGGACCTTGGAGGTCTTCTAGTCCAACCCCCTGCTGAAGCAGGAGACCCCCCCAAACAATTTCAGACAGGTGGCTGTCCAATCTCTTCTCAAAAACCTCCAGCGATGGAGTGAGGACCCACAACTTCTGAAGGCAAAGCTGTTCCACTGATTTATTGTCCTCACTGTTAGGAAATTCCTCCTTAGATCTAGGTTGCTTCTCTCCTTGATTAGTTTCCATCTATTGCTTCTTGTCCTTCCCTCTGGGGCTTTGGAGAATAATTTGACCCCCTCTTCTTTGTGGCAGCCCCTCAAGTACTGGAACACGACTATCATGTCCCCCCTAATTCTTTTTTTTTCTTTAGACTAGCCAGATCTAAATCCTGCAGCCATTCTTCATAAGGTTTAGCTTCCAGTTCCCTAATCATCTTTATTGCTCTTTTCTGCACTTTTCCCATAGTCTCTAGATCTTTTTTATAATATGGTGACCAAAACTGGATGAAGCCTTCCAAGTGTGGTCTTACCAAGGTTTCATCTGAAATCCTTCCTAGATCAGGACTAAATTATTCCACCGATTTATTGTTCTGACTGGCAGGAAATTTCTCCTTAGTTCTAGGTTGCTTCTCTCCTTGATTAGTTTCCATCCATTATCTCTTGTCTTGCCTTCTGGTGCTTTGGAGAATAGCTTGACTCTCCCTCTTCTTTGGGGCAGCCCCTCAAATATTGGAAGGTTGCTACCATGTCACCCCTAGTCCTTCTTTTCTCTAGATTAGCCAAAACCAAATCCTGCAACCGTTCTTGATATGTTTTAGTCTCCAGGCCTTTAAGCGTCTTAGTTGCTCTTCTCTGCGCTTTTCCCCGAAGTCTCAACATCTTTGATGACCGAAACTGGATGCAATATTACAAGTGGGGTTTTACTAAAGTTTTTTTTTTAAATATATTTTTATTAAGTTTCCGTTATTACAACATAAAACATCATGATTTCAACAGCATTTTTTGACATCTACACAGGTTTTTATCTTATATATCTTAACACATTGTATTTACATTTATCTGATATTAATCAATGACTTTTTCTATAATTATTCTTATATATTTTACATATTTACATTTTACTTTCTTAAGGCTTCTTACAGTTAGATTTCTTGTCTTATTTCTTGTTTCTGTTTGCTACCCAATCCAGATTAAAAAAAATATTCCGAGTCTTCTCTTTCTATCAGTTTCAGTGTTAACATATTATTTTTTGTAATATTAGGAGTTTTACTAAAGCTTTATATTCGCTGGGACTGGTTCCCCAGAAGCCCTCAGCAGCAGTGGGTCTAATGTGTTTCTGCTGGTTTCTGTGTTGGGAAGGTGATGTGCTACTTCACCTTTCAGTTGTAATTCTTTCTTTTAATTGACAAGCTTTCTTTCTCCCTCACCAGCTGAACCATAGAAGTGGTTTCCGGCTGGAATTCTTCAGCTGTAAGACTGCTGCAAATATATATCAAGATATTCTTCCAGGTAAGAAGACAAACCTACACTTGCCCAATGGCAGACACAAAACCCATTTTCACTTTTTGCCGTGTAAAGCATCACCTGGGTTTTTATTTTTTTCCTCATCTCCATCCCAGGGTCTTGCGTTAGGATCTTGCCAAAATTGTTAGGGACTCCCCCACTGAACTCCCCTCACAAACTACTCCCCAATTGCTTGCTCAGAGAGTAAAACTGAAAGTAAAGGCTTCTGCAACCCCTACATTGAATATTTAGGCCAGTGGATCTAAAAGTATTCTGTGTTTGAGGGGTGTGGTGGCCTAGAGGTGGAGCCGTCGCTTCACAGTCAAGAGGCTGTGAGTTTGATCCTAGGTGGAGGCAGATATTTCTCTCTCTGGGCACAATGAGAATATATTTGCTGAACAAAACTCCGTGTTGTTGACAGGAAGGGCATCCGGCCAGTAAACACTCAGCTCCGTTCATTTGCTCAAATGCAAAGAATTATAGGGTCATTAACACACACAAAAATATCTAAAATTATTCTATGTTTCTAGCCCCTCGTGGCTGCATAATATAAGAATTTGAAAGAGATTTTCGGATATTAAGAACAACAAAGGGAAAATGGGTGGTTTTAGTGACCTGGAATATATTATAGATCATGTTGCTGCAACTAATGGAAGTATGCAAGACAATTAAAATAGACGAGGTGGTTTGGGATTGCTTTTAACGAAAGTGGTTTTTCTCTTGGGCAGTTTTGCTTCCATGATCCTTGAATCCCTGGAGCATGAAAGTCAAAGTGATTTCAATTTTGGAAGATAATTACATGTACCTGATCATCGAGGAAACCACTCGTGAGGCCATTGCAGTGGACGCTGCTGTTTCCAAGCGGGTAAATGGCATCGTAGGAGGCTTGGAAGAAATGATAAAATAGGGGCAGGTGGTATAGGTTGGAGCAGCTTTCAAACCCCTCTAGGGCATTGGGAGGGTTGAAAAAGTTGGCAGGCTTGAACAACAGTTCTAAATCAACAGGTGTAAGCTGAAGACTACCTGTACTGCATTCTAACTATTGTGCCACCATGGTTCATAAATAACAAATTTAAGGACTTTAAAAAAAAATCTTTGGCAATAAATCTATGTGCACTATGCTCTTTGTGAGTGTTTTTCCCCCTCTCCAGCTCCTAGAGATCATCCGAAGAGAAGACATTATTCTAAAAGCCATCCTGACTACCCATCACCATTGGTAAGTAACCCGTTTCCCCCAAAATAAGACCTATTCAGAAAATAAGCCCTGGCGTGTTTTCTTGTGTGCGCCCACCCACAAAATAAGGCCTTGTTCAGCCGGCCATCCGTTCTGTCTGGTTGCTTGATGTGCTGTCGCCACAAGGCAAGGGTTGTGATGGAGCCGCCCCACATTCCCTGCACCGGCTTACCTCAGGGCCCCTGCAGTCGGGCGAGCCATGCCCCAAAACCTGCCTTGTGGCATCACCGCCAACAGCCACGTCTAGCAGGAGCCCGTGTGTCCGCTGGCCCCCTTCTTCTTCTCCTTGCTCGCGGCCGCAATGGAGAGGGAGGCTGAGTGGCGTGTTGGTCCATGGCTGAGAGACGGGGCAGGTGTTGGCGCGTGGATGGCCTGGCTGTGGAGGCCCTCAAGTAAGTCAGTGTGAGGGTGCGAGGCCCAGCTCCGCCCCCAACCCATCCCTGCCTCGTGGCGATGGGACTGGAGCGCCACTCAGCCTACCCCACTGTTGTGGTTCGCCGGCAGCAGGTGCGGACAGCGAGGAGAGCGAGGACTCGGGGGGAATGGACTGCTGCCTTCAGAGATTGTGGGGGCTGGCAGCAGCGATGAGGAGGTTCCCGAGGAGCCTGTGCTAAGTGGGCTGCTCGCAGGAAAGAGCAGCTGCAGCAGCACGGGCGACTCGGGAGTAAGGCTGCAAGGTAATGGCCCCTCCAGCTGTGAATCGGACGTTCTTTGCAGGAAGCAAAGATGTTTTCAAACTCAGCCTCATAGACATTGCAGTATCTTAAGTTGGACTCTGGTGTTGTGAAATATTTCTTATCTGTTATTCTTGGCAGTCTCGTACAGTTTTGGTGAGGCTCATGCTTATCAAAGTTAATTTGCAGCAGCCATTTAACCAGGGATTCGTAAGACTCATTAAAAGGTTTCTGTTCTCTTTGGTTATTGTTTATCTTATTGGAAAAGGGTTTGGGTCAGAACACCCACATGCAAGCAAGCAGAAGGAGTGGGCCTCCTATACATGGTAAACAAAAAACCAAAAAAAAATGTGTAAATGAAATTACACATTGCCGAATAGAATTGAAGCCAGAATTGATTCTTTCGGGGGATTTTTAAGAGAATGTATCCTACAAAGATAAAAATATTTGATTCTACGCATCACCACAGCAGCAAGAATTGCACTCACACAATCTTGGAAAACGGTCACCATACCGACAGGTTGTTTAGTAATCCAAAAAATTTTTTGATTGTGCAGAAATGGACAAACTCACTATAGAGTTAAACAATAAGGAAGACTCGGAATATTACACAATTTGGAATAACTCTGTATCAATGGATAGATAGTAGGAATATGAAATGTATAGATCAAGAAGAAGATATAAATATGTATATGTATACGGCTAATTAGAAATGTATGGAAATGTATGAATATAATCAAAAAAATTTAGTACTGTCGAAGATTGAGATTTGTAAAAAGTTGTTTTTAGATTTACTTGCATTTTAATGCTTCAAATTTCAATAAAGGTTTTAAAATATATATATATGGGGAGGGGGGAGAGGACAAGATACCCACCAAAAGTAAGCCCTAGTGCTTATTTTGGGACCCAAAAGAAAAGAAAATTCGGTTTTATTTTGGGGGAAACACGATATTCGGTGTGGCTCTTGCATTGGTTCTTGGGGAGAAGAGAACAGCCTTTTCTCCCCCTTCGGGTTCAAGGTAGGCTGAAGTTCTGAGCCACCCATGAAAGAGGAGACCGCCTTCCTCGAGGATCCCCCCCTCCCCCCAAGTAGTTAAGTGGCGGCCCAATTCTGGAGAAATTATTGAAGAATAATTTTAAATTCTTTAAAATTGGGGGAAGGTGGGAATCCAAGAACTTCTCCGCCTCTGCAAATGGGGTGTGAAGATTTTGAAGAAAAAAAAAAACCCTAGAAAAGTTCCGCTTTCTTTTTGATGGTCTCTTCTCTCTGTCCAAATTGGAGACAGCGGAAGAGAAGGGGAAAAAAAAACCCACAGCCCTCTTCCTCCCCTTTTCCCAAGGGATCACGCGAGAGACAATGCAGAACTGTCCAAACTTTATCCTGGCCTGGAGGTCTATGGTGGGGACGAACGGGTGGGAGCTCTGACGCACCGGGTGACTCACGAGCAGGAATTAAAGGTAAGCATGGAATGGATCAGAACCTTTGCGGTACCGCAGGATGGCTTAGTGGAGTGGTGCGGTGGCCTAGAAATGGGGGGTTGCTCTCACCTCCCAATCAGGAGGCTACAAGTTCGATTCAAGGCAGAGGCAGATATTTCTCTCTCTGGGAACAATGAGAATATATCCGCGGAATAAAACTCTGCACTGGCGACAGGGAGGCATCCGGCCAGTAAACACTCAGCTCCATTCGGTTGCTCAGACTCCACCATGCAAGGGATTATGGGGTCATTAAAAGATGATGATGAGAGTATGGCTTAGCTACAGGGAAGTCTAAAACTACCCACAGTAGTTTTATTTGTATGTGACATCATCACATACATGACACAAATGGATTTGTTCTTTCCCCCCCCCAGCGCATGCCCAGATGCTGTTTCATGCGTTAGGGTTAGGATATCTACTTTGGGTCACTCTCTGTTGACTCCTTTTAGCAATCGGTCGGCATTTAGAGTGCAGTTGAAGTTTGCAACCTCCTGCCCTGCCCTTGGTGACAGCGGGCCCATGCTCAGCCTGTTGTGCTGCTGGTGGCTGCATGGCTTCTCCTTGTGACTCGACTTCTCTGCAGGGCGTTTCCTTCCACCTTGGAGGGGAATTGATGCCTGAGGGTGGAGATTCATTCTCCCAGCTTGTGTGGGTTGGTTTCCAAACCTTTTGTTACCAGGCTGCGTATAACATCTTCAGCAGAATTTAGGGGATGCCAGCACCAAGAAAAAAAAAAACAAAAATACACAGACTGGGAAAAAACAGGCTTAATAGCAGGAACTGTGAGAAGGATCTTGGAGTCTTAGTGGACAACCAGCTAAATATAAGCCAACTGTGCAGCATCAGCCAAAAAAGCTAATGCAATCCTAAATTGTATTAACAGAGGGATACAACCAAGATCAAGGGAGGTACTAATACCACTCTATTAAGCCTTAGTAAGACCACACCTAGAGTACTGCATCCAGTTTTGGTCACCACACTATAAAAAAGATGTTGAGACTCTAGAAAGAGTGCAGAGAAGAGCAACCAGGATGATGAGGGAACTGGAGGCTAAAACATACAATGAACGGTTGTAGGAACTGAGCCTGGCTAGTCTAGTGGAGAGAAGAACCAGGGGAGACAGGATAGCATCTTCAAATATTTGAGGGGCTGCTTGACCCCCGTCAAGCTATTTTCTAAGGCACCTGAAGGCCAGACAAGGAATAATGGATGGAAACTGAACAAGGAGAGATTCAACCTGGAAATAAGGAGAAATTTTTCTGACAGTGAGAACCATCAACCGATGGAACAGAAGTTGCCTTTGGGAGTTGTGGGAGCTTCATCCCTGAAGACTATCAAGAAGAGATTGGACTGCCATTTGTCAGAAATGGGGTATGGTCTCCTGCTTGGGTGGGAGGTTGGACTAGATGACCTACAAGATCCTTTCCCACTTTGTTAATCTGTTAGTCCAATTCCTGCCCAGACCTTATACCATCCTGGACAAATGGTTGTCCAAATATTGCCAGAAATGGTCTACTGCTTGGGTGGGATTTGGACTAGATGATCTACAAGGTAGAGACCAACTCCATCATTCTATTCTATTCTCTTTGGTGCTACTGAATTGATGTTTTCTAGGGATTGACTTGGTCACACTGTACTTCCTAAGACAAAAGCTTCTCATCACACACACACAACCATGAGTGATCCAACCCTTCTTTGGCCTAGTCTAGAACGTTGTGGGAACTCAGCAAGTTTGTGCGAGTAGGAACTGTTTCAAGCACAAATGGATTGTTGGCTTTGACATGCAAACCCATCCTTCTTTCTTTTGGATAGTTTGGCAGCATCAATGTACGGTGCCTTCTCACTCCAGGCCACACTGCGGGACATGTCTGCTACTTCGTGTGGGAAAATGATTCCCTGAATGCTCCTGCAGCTTTCACAGGTAGGTCCTGAGAAACGAAGGGCTGAGGACATCCTGGAGCCAGTCTCAGGGAAGGGAGAAATTGCTCATTGCACACAAAGCTATTGAAACCATTTTAGGTTAACTTGTTTTCTAGGTCCACAAAAATAGGGCACCTGCATGGAAAGATGCCCACGTTGAATAAAGTCAACAAGATTATCAAACTTAGCAGAATGCATTTGCTGGCTCTACAAATGGTTTAGCCAGCGTGTTGTGTGAATAGTTCCAGCCCATTTGTGTTTCTTTACAGTGGTTAGAATGCAGTACTGCTGGCTACTTCTGTGAACAATGGTCATGAGTCCCTTTTTTTAGTGCCATTGTAAGTCTGAATGGTCACTAAGAGAACTGTTGTAAGTCGAGGGCCACCTGTAAACAAACAGCATTTTCTATATGTATATATGTGTATGTATGTATGTATGTATGTATATATACATATACATATACATATACATATACATATACATATATATATATATAAAAGCGAAAGACCCCTCACGCATCATCACAAAATCTCCAAAGCCATAAAGCCTACAAACTTGACATTTGGCACCTATGTTCCTCTTGGCTTCTAGGTGCTCACTAAGAAAGGATTTTTTGAAATGACCATCAGAGCATTAGGATTTCCTATATTATTATTAATAACACGCTCTGATGCTAAGGAGTTCTACTCTCCCTCCCCACCTGAAAAGAAATGTGTTCAAAATGCAAAACACAAGCAGAGGAGAGGAGTTTCGGTTTTAGTTCCACAGCACCAAGCAGCTTTAGTACAGAACAGTTGAGCTAAGCCATGCCCAGGCTCCTTGCTGTCTCCTCGCTCCCACAGCAAACACTGTTTCAGTTTCCAAACTGCCCTCAAATCTTTCACACACTGACAGGATGCTAGCCGGATAAATATTGAGGGATGCTGGTAGGCAGAGGCAGAATTGTTTTCCCCTTATTTCCCTCCCCAAAAAACTAAGCCTGACCACATAGTTTAGTAGCAAAGCACAGGTATTGAGCTAGTGCCGTATGAGACTCCGTTGCGAGGAAGGTGTTTTAATTGCCCTGCTGATGTTTCTTGAGTAACGGCCCGTCCAATGACCAAGTGTTTGGGAAGGGGGTGGGGAAATCAAGCGGGGTGTGTGTGTGTGTGTGTGTGGCTTGATTGTGCATCTTTCTTTTGTTGTTAGGTGACACCTTATTTGTCGGTGGTTGTGGGAAGCTCCTGGAATGCACAGCCGAACAGCTGTACAAGAGCCTGATGGAGGTCCTGGGTGGGCTGCCAAAGGAGACGGTAGGTTTGAGCAGCCTTTGATGCTGCCTGAAGTGCCAGGCTCCAAAGTCGAGGAAAGGGCCCTGCCCTGCGAAGGCTCCCATTTTGAGGGCCAGCGGTGGAGACAGAGAAGCCTAGGAGGTTTAGGCAAAACGCGGTACCCGAAGGCAGGCTGGGTCTTCCGGTCAACCCCTCAGTCCTGGTTGCCTCAGCTGTCGATTTCCCACAACTTCTCGTTTTGGGGTGGCCTCAGCTGACCACAGCAAAGCCACGGTGGTCACCTGGCTACCACCCCAACCCAGAAGCCTTTTCCAATTATTTCGGGCTTTTTTAAGTATTTATTTTAAGAGACCTGGTGGTGCAGTGGTTAGAATGCAGGATTGCAGACTAACTCTGCCCGCTGCCAGCAGTTTGATCCTGACTGGCTCCAGTTGACTCAGCCATCCATCCTTTTGAGGTTGGCAAAATAAGGACCCCGATTGTTGGGGGACAAATATGCTAACTCTGTAAACTGCTTAAAGAGGGCTGTAATGTCCTGTGAAGTGGTATATAAGTCTAAGTGCTATTTCTATTTCTATTTCTATATATTTCTATTTCTATTTCTATTTCTATTTCTATTTCTATTTCTATTCTATTCTATTCTATTCTATTCTATTCTATTCTATTCTAGAGTTCTCTTCTGTTCTATTCTATTCTATTCTATTCTATTCTATTCTATTCTATTCTATTCTATTCTATTCTTCTAATTATTCTATTCAATTCCTGCAATGGCGCAGTGGTTAGAAGGCAGTATTGCAGTCCAACTCTACTGACTGCCAGCAGTTCAGTCCTGACTGGCTCAAGGTTGACTCAGCCTTCCATCCTTCCGAGGTGGGTAAAATGAGGACCCAGGTTGTTGGGAGCAATAGGCTGACTTTGTAAACTGCTTAGAAAGCACGGTAAAGCGGTATATAAGGCTAAGTGCTAGTGCTATTTATCTCCCAGATTGAGGGAGAATTTGGGAAAGGGTCAGTTCTTAATTTTAAAAAGTTAAACCTATTTTATGAATCACGTTGTCTTTTTGTGTTTTTGCTTCCTCAAGAATCCGAGAAACAACATTTCCAGTTTTTAAGAATCCGTCACTAGGGACCTTGGAGATCACAGCAAAGGAGTTTGTGGATGGAAGGGATTCCAAGGTGAATCACTCTTAACGTGGAATTTTTTTTTTCTCCTTTTCAGAAAATCTTCTGTGGACATGAGTACACAACCCAGAATTTGAAGTTTGCCTTAAAGGTGGAACCAGAGAATGAATTTGTGAAAGAAAAGCTCATTTGGGCTAAAGTGAGTGGTTCTATACTGTTCTCCCAATTTGTGATGATGTAAAGGGGTGTGGCACAAAGACAACACAGTCAAATAAGCAAGAAGAGTCCCTTTATTATCTCCAACTTTGCCCACAATGTCCAGGTTACCTTCGGCTGGAGAAAAACTCTCCCAGGAATAGACTTTAACTGTAGAAAATTCAGTCCAAAACAAGGTACACACAAACTGTAACTAAAAATCCAAACAAACAAAGCTGAAATAATTAACTTGACAGGGCAGGAGAAGCCCCACTTAAAACATAGTTGGGAAGATGCCAGGAACACAGATAAGCCATGAGGGGGAGCTTGCTGCGCGCAGCTTCCTCTTTTAAACACTGTGTTCCCAGCTGCAGCTAATGAAGGGAATCAGGGCCCTTTCCTCCCCCGTAAGCCACACAACCCACGTTGCTCTCTTCTCTATTCCTCTCTGCCTGCCCTAGGATGAAGACGGGATGGACCTGGGTCTTCCTCTGAACTCCCTCTCCCTTGTTCTACCTCTGCTCTGCTCTGCCCAGCCAGACTTTGCCCTTCCCCATTTTTTTCCTCAGCCAACGGAGCCACACTCCCACTCCCTGTCAGCTGTTTGGCTTCCTCCTCTGGGTCAGATTTGACAGGGGCGTGACACAATTTTTTAATCTTTCCAAAATGAGGGTCAAGAGGTAAAATGGACCCTTTATAAAAGTCAGAATTACGACCAATAACATCAGTCTCTAGCTTAAGTGATTGCTTCAAATGTCCTGATAGGCTCTGGATTGTTTAAATCGTGGCTTCTGGTTTAAGCCAACATCAGTGACAGAACACATCGTTCTAAACTACTGAACAATGGAATACAAACCTGGATTGCTGGCAGTGGCATTTGTGGTGGGTAGGTGGTTAAAAAAACTCAACTTGGGATGGCCACATGATTGAAAGCCCCTTTTATGCTTCCGTTGCTGGCTTGCTGGCTTTTTAAAAAAAAAAAAAATCCAAAGTATTTGAAAATAACCCAGTTTGCTGGATCAGAGGTAAGAGTAGATCTACTCAACTCCTAACCTTTCTATAGTTCTTCAGGGTCAACTACAAGGATATTTGGTACATTGGAAAAGTTCTGTCAATTTAGCAAATAAACTAACTTAAGTAACTTAAGCAAAGAAACTAACTTAAGTATTTTAAGCAAAGAAACTAACTTAAGTAACTTAAGATAGTTAGCAAAGAACTTAAGTAACTTAAATTACTTAAGTTAGCAAAGAAATCCTGGCTCCTTGTTTCCTAGAATACATGTTACTGAAAGCAAACGTAGTTACAGAAGTAGTGCGGCAGAATCTGCTGGTTTGGTATGCACAGGATACAATTAATTTTCCCTTTCCTGGGGGCCACCCTCCCACCCCCCATCCCGTTATCAGTCACTGTCCAGTTAGGAGTTCTCTTGTTTAGATGACCCTCAATTCACGCCTTCTCCATCTCTGCATTCTTTCGGTTGACCTTGTGCTGGATTGGTGTGTTTCACTTTTTTGGACTGGCACGGATTGGTCCCCAATCCCCCCCTTGTCCTCCTGCATGGCAACTTCTCTCCCCCTCCACACACACACACACACACACACACACACACACACACACCCTTGCAAATGTCAGGCTGGCAGGATGCGATGCGAAGCGAAGCTAGCAGAATGGCAGCCATGACATGGTCTCACTCAGTGGTGGGATTCAAACATTTTTACTACCAGTTCTGTGGGCATGGCTCAGTGGGCGTGGTGTGGCTTGGTGGGCGTGGCCAGGGAAGGATATTGCAAGATCCCATTCCCTCCCCACCCCACTAACCTGCTTTCCAGCTCCGTTCTCTTGTGCAGGGCAACCAAAGAAGACCCAGCCGATCAGCTGGGACTCGATGGGAGACAGAGATGAGATGGGGTTGGTGGGGCCAGTCAGAGGTGGGATTTGCCGGTTCTCCGAACCACTCGAAATTTCCGCTCCCGGGTCTCCAGAACAGAACCTGCTTAGTGCCACCTCTGGTCTCACTGACTCATTCTTTCACAGCTCCGAGAAGATGAAGACCTTCCAACGGTGCCTTCTACTTTGGCAGAGGAGTTCCTCTACAACCCGTTCCTTCGCATCTTGTGAGCCCATGTTTCTTTAATGGAGGGGCTGGGGGAGAGGGGGTCCTTTCCCCACCCCTTTTGGTTTCTGTCCCATCTTTCCTCCAGGAACTCCAAGACCCACACACCACAGCCACCCATGAAATTGGCGGGCTAAGAGGCTGACTAGCCCATCTTTCTTGGCCGAGAGTGGGCCTCGGGGGTGGTGGTGTTTTATTGGTAAGCAGAGCACATCCTGGGTGCATCTGAACGTGGGTCTCCACAGACCCCTCCGACTTCTGAATCCTGTGCTTTAGGCTTGAAGGGTCTGTTTTGTCTGGGGTTCACACAAGAACACTATGTAACAACACGGATTTCCCCAATGGACTCCACAGTGTGTTCCAAACAAGATGCAAAGAGTTGGGTTCTCGCTACGGTTCGACCGCTTTGCGTAAACCCGGCCGATGCTTCCTTTCATCTTGAATTAAAATATGCATCGGATTTAGAAGCAGAAAGCGGGGGCGTGAAATGCTCAGGTACCATTTGTCAGCAACATCTTAGGCCTCTTCTTTGAGGTCACACAGAAACACTCCACAGCTGTAGCGTAACTTTTGAGAAAAGATGCGGCGTACGTAAGAAAAGAATAGATAAGCGGTGAGATTCGCCATTGTCCATCAGCTGGATTATTCACCGAGGGAAGGCAGGACAAACGAACCTCATTATGGCAAAGCCTCCTGCCAGAATCAGCTTGTGTGGTTTCTTCCAGGGTACCTCTAAGGGCAGCATCAAGGAGGTCATAGTTCTGGGCCTGATCGTGGGATTGAAGGCCTGACCTTTTTATGTTTAAGAATTAAATGTGAAAGGCTTCACTCATACGATAGCAATAGCACTTATATACCACTTTCCAGCCCTCTCTAAGCGGTTTACAGAGTCAGCCTTTTGCTCCCAACAATCTGGGTCCTCATTTGACCCACCTCGGAAGGATGGAAGGCTGAGTCCATCTGAAGCTGGTCAGGATTGAACTGCTGGCAGTGGGCAGAGTTAGCCTGCAATACTGCATTCTAACCATGACGCACCATGGAAGGAAGGAAGGAAAGGAGGGAGGGAGGGAGGGAGGGAGGGAGGGAGAGAGAGAGAGAGAGAGAGAGAGAGAGAGAGAGGCAATAGCACTTCTATACCGCTTCACAGTGCTTTATAGCCCTAAGTGGTTTACAGAGTCAGCCTCTTGCCCCCAACAATCTGGGTCCTCATTTGACCCCCCTTGGAAGGATGGGAGGCAGAGTCAACCTTGAGCCGGTCAGGATCGAATTTCTAGTTGTGTGGCAGTTTGCCTGCAATACTGCATTCTAACCACTGAGCCATCCCAACTAACCAGCAGTAGCACTCAGACTTACATACCGCTCCACAGTGCTTTATAGTGCTCTCTGGATGGTTTACAGAGTCAGCATATTGCGCCCAACAATCTGGGTTGTCATTTTACCGACCTTGGAATGATGAGTCAACCTTGAGCTCATCAAACTCCTGGCAGTGGGTAGTTAGCCTGCCAATACTGCATTCTAACCCCTGCACCACAAACAACCCCCCCTGCTCTGCATATCATCCCATGACACCAGTTATAACTCAAGATATGGCAATGGTTGCATGCAGATTCTCAGGACAATTCTGGCACCTCCTATCCCTGCTGGGGGAACCAGTTGGCTTTTGCCAAGGACGCTACGGCTCCTTTCCCCCTCTTGTACATCTGTATAGCGTGGAAGATCTGAAGATCTGGCAACAACCTATCTCTTGGGTTTGCTAAGGGGGCTTATTTGCTGTTCCAGGGAAGAACCGGTCCAGAAGTTCACGGGCAAGTCCGCTCCTCTTGAGGCCTTCGCTGCTCTCTGCAAGGCCAAAGAGACCTTCCGGAAACCCAAAGAGCGGCTGAATCCTCAGGCCATGCTGGACTTCCAGTGGGGGCTCTTCGATCCACTCCTGCAGAAGTGAGACCCCGCCCTGACTGCCATGATGGGGATACAGGTGCGTTGTTGAAGGGCTCGCTCCTCCCTCCCTCCCTCCCTGTGCTGATAGAAAAAAGTTTGAACGCCCATTGCAGAGGTCATCTAAATTAGGGGTCGCTAACCTTTTGGACCTCAGGGACCATCCAATTCATAATTTTAAATCCTGGCGCGGATCAGAGACCCTGGGAAAATCCCCAAAGAAGTCTGCAGGAAATTCCCCCACCCCGTTTTCCTACCGATCGATCATTCTTTATTTGGGATCTCCAGCTCTGTTCTCAGGGGGAGAGAGTGTGAGAGACTTTTGGCTTCATGCAAGGAAAACAGCAGAAGCAGCAGAAGTCTTTCTTTCTCTCCCCCAAACTCTGCCAGAAAGGAGTCTTTGTCGGCGCAACCTCTTGGAGCAGGTGGCCATGCAGGGTCCCAAAGACTCGTTTCTGGCAGAATTTGGGGAAGAGAAAGAAAGACTTTTGCTGCTTTCCTTGCATGCAGCCAAAAGCAGAAGCAGCGGAAAGCAGCAGCCCAGTGGCCAGGCATGGCGTGTGGGGTGAGGGGAGCAAGTTCCCCCCTCCGCCTTTTCCATCTCCCTTCACTACCTTGTGTTGTTCGCAGTGCAAGCCTGTTTCCACGGGCCATGTGGGCAGCGCAGCCTTGTGTTCCCACGCAGCCTGGAGCCTTTGGGGGTAACATTTCCCTGCAGACCACCAAAATTTTCTCACGGACCACCAGTGGTCCCCAGCTCACTGGTTGGTGACCACTGATCTAAAGCACGTTTGGGAGGCTCTGAATCTTGGCATTATTCTCCCTTTTTGACACCTGCAGCAAATACACCTAGATCGCACGGCCCCTTTCCAGCAGCATCAAATGGGGCAGGAGCTTGTTGGGAAGTGAAGTTGCCTCCTTCCACTTCACCAAGGAGGGAAACGGCATCCTTTCCTTCCAATGCGTAACTACCTTGCTGAAAACATGGTGACGAGCATTGGAGTAACTCCTTACTTCTGTGAAGGAAGGCACTGTGGAGCTATGCAAAGCGGAGGAGGAAATATATAGTGTTGCCTGCCTCCCAATTTACTATGAAATTAATGACAACCGTTCGTTCATTCTTAATTTGTTTTTAAAAATTGTTCTGTTGGGATTTAAACCCAACCTTTCCTTCAGGTGCTCAAAGCCACCATACACTCCAAATGTTCCCTCCGTAGCCCTGTGCCTGGTGATTGAGATGGAATCATTGAGAGAATGAGTGAGACCCAGCCCCAAACCCCTCCCTTCTTTCCATAGCCGAGGATCGCTTTGAGGAGGCGGCTCCCAGGGCAAGCGGAAGCTACCCCATCGTGGCCAGAAGGAGCCAGTTGGGTGGGGTGAAATCTTTTTGAGCTAAAAGAAAAACCCTGGTGTGATTAAGGAATATCTGTCATCTTCTGAACACCCTGCAATACAGATCCCTCGCTCGACATCAATGTTTTGTAGAAATGAGAAGGAAGTATTTTGACGTCTCTACTTTTTTTCCCCCCTTAACAGATGAGAACGGGCTAATTGGATTCATCTCAAAGGCAAATGTAAGCTGTCGAAAATTGGGAGGCAATGGAGGGCTCATAAAAATAAATCGCATGGGCTGCCAGAATAAAGCCAAGAGAATCCAATAAGAGCGGACTGCACAGTGCATCTCCAAACCAGCAAACCTGAATTACCTTCACTTTCAGATCAAAGAACTTTTTAGGCCCAAACATAATGTTCTCCCTTTTGTTCTTGTAGTGTCCAAAATCCCCTTCGTTCAGCAGGTTTGCTCTCCAGATAAAGGTTGGGCAGGCTGAAACAGTGCAACAATTCTATTGAGATATTTGGAAAAAAAATGATATATTGTGCCTGCTGTTCTAGCAACAAGGCAGATGTGAAACTACACTTTCAGATACTTACCCCACACGATAGGCAAATTTTGGGCGGCCCTTATAGAAATGAGACAAAGTGGAAAACTGATTCTATGTTCTATGGTCAATTTCTTATTTTATTGATGGTTGTTGACTGTTTACACACATAGCCTTTGTGATATCCCTCAACGGAGCAGGGGATGTGCATTTCTGTTCCTGCTCCTCATGTTGCATGTGGACTAGGACAGGACAAGGCTGCAAATGCTCCGCTTTGTGCCACATGACCGGAGCGGGGGAACCAGAACGGTGCTGCTACTCAATGCCCCACCCGTCCAGAGTCATTGTAAGGAGAGGTATTTTTTTTTCCCTCCATAAACACCCAAACCATTTTTTTAAAAAAAAAATGTTGGTCCCTTCTCTCGAAATGCCAAATTCGGACTGGCTCCATTTTGTTCTCGTGCAATTATCCAGAAGAGCTCATTTCAAAAATTCTAACTTTCTGGCAGTAGGGGAAAAAACGTGACGGAGCTGTAGAAAGAGTAAACTAACTTTTCTCCTCTAAAGATCTGATAAAAAAAATCCAGCGGAGTGCACTGTCGTTTGCTGTGAAGCCGATGCTTTGCCTTATAATTTTTAAAAATTCAAATATAAATCTTCGATGCAACCATTTGCTTAAAAAATGAAACTTTCCGCTTCATCTGCGGCAAGAAGTGATCTTCTACATCAGCAGGCAACTTGGTGGCCCAGCTTGGGGGGGTGGGGGGGGGAAGAACTGGCCTGCACAAGCGGTGGGCCCGCACACAGACAGAACTTGGTTGCAAGCTGCGCATGTGTGCCGCTTGTGCAAGTTGAGCTGCACATGCAGGCCAGCCAGTCTGCCATTCGCGCAGCCTGGTTGCGAATAGGCCATGGCTCGATCGTGGGCTGTGGCCTAGGGGTTGGTGACCCGCGCATTGTTGTGCTACACGAGCTGAGCCAATTTACCACTTAATATTAAAGCCTGTGCTGGCCTTCTCCACCGCATGGTATTGTGTATGGAGGCGACTCCGAGCCTGCTGAGAAGTGGGGCCCCCAAGCCACTGGTCGTAGAGGTCGCTGATGGTTTCATTCGTCTCGGGGTCTTCTGGCTGGGCCATTTCATAGAGACTCTCCACACGATGGAGCAGATCTTTGCTGGATTCTCCTTCTGCTCTGATCTGTCCCCCTCCATTTAAGCACCCTGGAAAATAAGGATTGGCAGCTGAAGGCAAGGAAAGCGAGGGAGCATTTGGCTTAAAACTGGGAGTTGCTAACTTGAGGGGGTGAGCTGGAGGAGGCTGGACTTTTGGCAGTGGGCTGTTAAGTTGGAAGTACACGTAAATCCTCAATTTGCAACCATAACTGAGCCCAAAATTTATGTGAAGTGAGACGTTTGTTCAGTGAGTTTTGGCTCATTTTACGTCCTTTTTTACCTCAGTTGTTAAGTGAATCACTTCAGTTAATAAGTTAGTAACATGGTTGGTAAGCAAATCCAGCTTCCCCGTCGACTTTAATTGTCAGAAGGCTGCAAAAAAGGGGATCAAATGCACTGTCTGAAGTGTCTCGGGACACTGCAACTGTCTTAAATATGAGTCAGTTGCCAAGCACCTGAAATTTGATCATTGCAGATGCTCCAAAAGTAGTAATGATGAAAAATGGTCATAAATTGCTTTTTTCAGTGCCGTTGTAACTTTGAACACTCGCTAAAAGAACTGTTGTAAGCCCAGAACTACCTGTAGGGAGCTACTCCAGGTAAACAATGGGAAAGGGAAGGGGTGGACTACTCACAAAATGTGGGTGTGTAGGAGACTGCCTATGACCCCTACTTATCTGGGTGGATGGTGGGGGTAACTATCCAAACCCAGCCCTAAAAAGCCAAAATGCCCATCTATTTCATTTTCTAAGCAAGTTTCCAAGACCTATTTGTGAAGCAAAGGAATTCTTGAGAACAGAACACAGGCTGGTGGCCTGCCTTTTCCTTGGCATCATTCAGTGCTCCATTGGCAAGGGGAACGTAGCAGGCTGCCACGGTACCTACGCAGCCCTCACCAGGCCGACCCTTTCCCCTCTTGAAAGAATTCCTGAAATAGTCCCGGGGAGCGCTAAAGTCACCATATCATCAGGAAGGCACCTGTCTCTTCCCTTCCAGCCATTTGCCACCTCAGACCTGCAGCCATCCTCACCTGAGGGACAAGCCATCACCTCGACATAATGGTAGGGCAGCTTTCCGCGTTTCAGTTTCTGCACGAAGTTTTGGATGTTCCGAAATCCATACGCCAGGGCGAAGTGCAGGAGAGTCTGGCCATCCTTCTCCAGCGTCACCTCTTGAAAATCCTTGTTTCTGAGAGGATGAACATTAGAGAGCATAGAGGATTGACAGCCAAAGCTTTTCCTCCAGGCTCGCGAGGAGAGAAACGCCAGTTGGGCTTCGGCAGCATCACAGATTGGGGAAAAATAAGAAAGGTATCCTCAGTCATTCAGGTCACGGTTGTCCCAAAGATGGTTTTTTTTTCCCCCAAAAGGCAACTTTATTTTTCCTTGAAGATGTTTCGCTTCCGATCCAAGAAAGTTCTTCAGTTCTCACTGAAGAAGCTTCTTGGATGAGAAGCAAAACGTCTTCAAGGAGAAACAAACTCCACTTGCCTTTTGAAAAAAACAAAAACAAAACACCCCTTTCTTGCTGTGCTGGAAGAACTGAGCAATTCCTGGCATTTTTTTGGAACTGCACTAGCAAGATTCAAGCACTTACAGGCAGCAACTACTCAGTCTAAGGGTTTAACAGCCTTTTAGTTGAAGGGCTATACTTTACATAGAAGGGGTGAAAAGCCCCAGTGGGCCAGGCAGTGATGGAAAGAACACTGGTAACAGAGGCAAGGCCAACCTTTTTCCTCCTGGGCTTGGGGGAAGTGATTCCTCTTTTTTTTTAAAAAAAAAAAAACTATGCAGAACCATTAGGTGATTCCCTCCTGACGTTTTTCATGTCACAAGGTAGAAAAAAATCTGAGCTTAACAAACTGCCCCTCACAGGTTATTTCATGAAGCCTCAAAAGAGCAGAAAATCAGTGTACTAGGACATTTTTACCCCTGAAATTTAGAACATGGCCACAAGAAAATACGAAGGCCGGGTGCGTCCTATGACTGATCTGAGTGAATGCCACTATCCTGTTCCCTTCTGGGAAGAGGGTGGAGGCAGGGGGTGGGGGGTGGGGAAGAAGGGCTAGGAAGGAAGTCAAGCTCCTTACTTCAGGGTCTTGTAGCGAAGCTCCTTCACTGGAATGCCAAAGAGCTCCTTTGCTGCATATCTGAATATGTGCTCCAAGTATCCCCCAGAGCCGCCTCCAGAATGGCCAAACAGCTGCTCTTCCAAAAGGCTGCCAAACCTGCAGTGGCGACAAAAGGGCTACAAAGTCAAGTTCTCGACTCCTGGTCACTCTATGGAGATACTTACATCCATGCAGTTTTCTTTTCTGACTTTCCTATCCAGCCAAAGGACATGGGGTTTTCTCAAGACCAGCAAAGATTGGCTAAGGGCTACCATCCACAGGGCCTGAACGACTCCTTGTATTCTTGGGACACAATACGGGAATTCATTTCTGCTGCCTTCTTTCAGGATATTTCCCACCACCACCACTTCTTGGTTTAGTCTCCAGCCCTTGGCTCTCCTTGCTAGTCTCCCAGGTAAGGGCCAACCAGTTCCAATCCGTTTCAAATTTTACAACAGCATCCCATTAAATATTACATACCACCAAATGCCCAGCAGTGTTTTAGGAAAACCAAAGTCCAATCTAGGGATAGAGGAGAGGGGAACAGCATAGCATCCAAACCCAGCCTCATCTGCAATGGCAGAAGACACATTGAGCAGCTTATTGCTAGGCAGATGGCAAACTTGATCACTTTTGAGATGTGGCTGATCTCTCACTGTCTCATCAGTGAGAGATGCTCCGAACTGTAAATTGGACTTTGGCCATGCTCTTGAATTGAGTTGAACAACTTTTATTAAGCCTAACTTGGCCTTTAAACAATGTGCAATTCTAAATCAAAGTGGATCCAGCCAGGACAAAACTAAAACCAGCTCACTGAGGTCATCTGGATCTATTCGTCCGTGAGCTGTAATGACCAGGAGAAGGGATGCATCATCCTCTCCTGGTGATGTCGCAGAAGAAAGTGGAGAAAACAGACTGCAGCCTGGCAAGTAGCTGAATTCCCAGGGAGGGTCTTACATGCTATCCAAAGGCACAGGATTCACTTCAAGAAGGGACACTCCTTCCTGGTCCAGCAACTTTAAGACTTCTCCTGAAATAAAGAGTTGTGACAATTAACTCAAGCAGATCCTAGAGATCAAGTCTCTAGACAAGAAGCTTCACAGGATTCTAAGGTAATCCCAGGTGAGTCTCACTGGCATACAACGGGAAACTTCCAACATGAAAGTTAAATGGAAGTGCAAGAATGCAATATTTGATTTGTGCCTTTTTTTCCTACTGGGCATGAATCCGTTTTTGAAAAAGGAAGTATTAAATTTATGCTGCATGACCTTGAGTGATAGGAGTTAGAATTTGGGCAGGGGTGCTACAGATGGGAAAAAAATAAGTGTCAGATACCAGTTAACTCCCTCGGCCTGAGTTTGCTGTAGCTAGTGAGAGTCACCAGCTTCCTTCTATCTCTTCAGTCACTAGCCTCTTTCTATCTTGGAACTATGTTCAACCCATTAAATTGCAAGCTTGCCAGAGGCAGTAATAATCATGTTTCTTGGATGCCTCAAGTCACTGGGATCAGGTGGTGTATAAAAAAACCCAGAACTAATTCCTTCTTATAGTAAATACTAGGATTATATAAAATGCCTCAAATCTGTTACACTTGGAGCAACAAAACCCCATCTCACTTTGAGTTCAAGAAATCCAGAAATGTAAGAAAAATCCATTCTAATTCAAAATGAAGTGTTTCACATTCTATGTTATTTGCATATCCCTAGTAAATATATCAAGAGAGTAATCTGCATTGTCTCTCTGTCCCCAATTGCGTGGCTGAAGTACTTAATTTGAAGCTTCCCCCTCCCCACCTGTGATAAATGAGACCCTGGCCTCTATCAAGATTCCTATCAGAGCAGGATTAATTCACAGAAGGCACTGACGGAGGAGGAGCAGGGTCCTTCCCTCTCCAAGATCATTTAGATCTGCCCTTTACCTGTTGTAATCACACAGTCAACCTCCCGGGTCTGGTGCTTTTCAAGGAAAAAATCTGGCCTGGAAGCTTCTAGCTTTTTGTCATAGCAAGGCATCACAGTGACATGGTAGATTTGGTCTGGGGTCCGGCTCTGGAACAAAAGGGTTTTGAAATGGTATTGAAACTGGCAAAAAGAATACGTAGCCCTAAATTCCCAACATGCAACTGAGAACAAAGGACAGAACCACATCCCGGTTTGGGGCCTGAGTGGTCAGGCAATCAGAAATTTGACGGTTCAGCTCACCCTTCTCTTTTATATATCACTTCCCCCTCTATTGCTCTCCAAATGTTGGCTAGGGTATTCCTGGAATTGTAGCTGTACATCTGAAGAGTAACATATACAGAATGGCAGGTCTAAGTGACCCAGTGGGGGACAATCACATCATGGTAGATTGCGTTGCACTTATGGCAGAAGCACTGAGGCGCTTCCGAGTTGAAAGGATTAGCTGGTGAATGACCATTGCTGAGGGGATTCCCAGCAGGTGTTAGAATGAAGGACAGGAGCTCAGCTCACCCCAGGGCAGCACTTAGGTCTCCAACGCAAACTTGCTAACCTCCAACCCCAGCTAACCACCCAAACCACCATATTCCTTAGCAATAGCAGTAGCACTTAGACTTATATACGGCTTCACAGTGCTTTACATCCCTCTCTAAGCAGTTCACAGAGTTAGCCTATTGCCCCCAACAATCTTGGTCCTCATTTTACTGATCTTGGAAGGACAGAAGGCTGAGTCAACCTTGAGCCTGGTGGACTTGAACTGCCAAATTGCAGGCAGCTGGCAGGCAGCAGAGGTAGAAGTAGCCTGCAGTACTGCATTCTAACCACTGTGCCATCATGGCTCTATGGATAGATCACTGAATAAGGAAAAACTGGCTGTCCCTTTGGGAAAACACACACACATACACACACAAATCCTGTTTTTACAGAGGGAGCAAAGGCTCTGAGTTACAACTACAGCAGATACTTGTAGCACATTTGCCAGTTTGTCCTTTGCCTCTACTGGCTTCCAAACTTCCTATTACACCTGCTGTCTTGTGAGAAAACTTTGAGCAACACCTGTTGTTTGGCAAAGTGGTCCTTAATCAGGGAACCCATGATCTGCTGGGGTGATCTGGTAGTGCTGATGTATGGGATGATAAAACTTCCATGGGTTTTTTCAGCATAACAGATCCAACCTGTAAGGGAAATGTTTTAAAAGAATTAAACCAATCCTGCTGTCTATCTTGGGTCAATGAAAGCTACCTAGCAAAGATGGACCATGGCCCAATTCAACAGTTGCACAAGTTCTTTTTTTCCATCCATTAAACTGAATGTAACCAGAAACCTAAATATTATCAAGCCCCAAATATTTGGGCAAGACAACAAAGGCAATTGCTCAGATTATGGTAAGGTATATTTAATGCCATTTTTGAGATAAAGAAATGTGATAATTGCAAAAAGAATTTCTGAATCTATTTCCGTGAGTTCACAAAGGCACAATTGGTTTGCATGATTTGAAACATTTCTTGGTTATTTTCCCCACAGGGTGAATTGCCATTTGTGACAAAAGCTGCCAACGGACGGCCCTCCGTCTCTCGATCCATTATGCCTCCGATGTTTTCCATGCCTTTCCCAGCTTCCATACCATCATTCACAGCCTGGAAAACAGGCAGGATATATGGAAGTTGCAAAATTGCCCGCTTAGTTCTAAAAATGCAAATACAGGTAGTCCTCTAAAGACTTCGTTCTAGTTCCCCCCCTTTGCCCTTCTGTACAGGTTGAATAACAGAACGTTGGAAAGGACCTTGGAGGTCCTCTAGTCCAACCCCTCACTCAAGCACGGGACCCTACACCATTTCAGACAAATGGTTGTCCGGTCTCTTTTTAAAAGCCTCCAGTGATGGAGTACTCAGAACTTCTGAATGCAAGCCATTCCACTGGTTAATTGTTCTCCCTGTCAGGAAATTCCTCCTTAGTTCTACGTTGCTTCTCTCCTTGCGTAGCTTCCACCCGTTGCTTCTGGTCCTGCCCTCAGGTGCTTTGGTATAGATTAACTCCCTTAAAACCCTAATTGGGACTAGAATTTCAGGAATAGGTCACTGTGGTCACAGCACCCAGGTGATTCCCCCCCCCCTTATTTTTACAGTGTTTACAGCAGAGGTCTCCAAACTTGGCAACTTTGTGCATTTCAACTCACAAAATTCTAGGAGTTGAAGTGCACAAGTTGCCAAGTTTGGGGACCCCTGGTTTACAGTGTCAGATCTAGGGTACATCCCATCAAGGAGAGGTTTGCTTCAGTCTTCCCTCCCCTCTGGTGCCATGTGGCATTTACTTACCAGGGCAAGCAGCAGCTAACATGGGCAAAGCCTTCTTATCTTCTACTCGTCTCTGGAAACGTTGCACAAATTCCCGCTGGTTCTCTAGCAAGCTGAAGTTCCTGGTGAAAGTTGTATCAAAGACAAAATGCACCCCTGATAAAGGAGAAGGAAGAGAAGATAAGTGTTGAATAGATACGAGGAAGGGCAATTCAGGATGGCATTTGGTCAATCAGCTGCAGCAACCATCGATCAGCAGCAACAATTTCACAGGACTTATGAATGGTATTTCATTAGCTCATGCAGCTGGTCAAGATTACAGAAAGGACTGTACAGATTTCTGTACGGCACCGTTAATGCTAGCCTGGAGCAAATGCATAGTCTTTGATTATAAGAAGTTCCAGCCTTATTTGCAGTGACTTCTTTACACACTTTGAATGCTGTTTCTTTCCTTCTCAGTTGCTATTTATAAGCTGCCATCAAATTCACCCTGTGCTGCTTGAATTTTCATATCTGATCTTTCTTCCCTTTTTCCCTCCCTAGCCTCCTCACAATTCTGAATGCAAATTAAAGTATTACATTTGCAAAGCATTAGGAAATCACAATAACTGAATACAGGAGCGAAGATTGGATAAGATTACTTTCTCATTTACATCATGTGCTTGATGATTTCCACATAAGTGCAGAAACGAGTTCTTATAGCTGCCCTGTTCAATTTCTCTGCAAGTGTTTCAGAACAGCATAATCCAGAATTTTTCACAACGTCCCAGAAATATGATTGAATTATTTTACACTCATTTTTGTAAGCTAGTTTCCATGCTTATGGGTGATAATGATTGAATTATTATAATTACTATAAGATGAGGAAAAACATTTTACTACCTTTTAAATATGTCAGCTTATATAAATGTCAATGCATATATTTTAAATTTGTTTTATTTTCTCACATTTCCTATATTTCTGCCTAACACTGCTTAGGTATGACACACAAATGACTTTGATTTGGATTAATTTGCTCGGATTAGCTCAGCATCCATTTTGAGAATTTTAAGGAGCAAACTTTATATGCAAATCTCCATTTTTAGATGAAAACTACTCACCTAAATTCTTAAAGAAGGCTGTCAGCTTCTTAGCGGTGTCTAAAGGAGTCATTCCAAATCTTGCAGCTAAAGAAGCTCTGGACTGTGGAGATATAGACACCACCACCAATTTCTTGGGAGGACTGGATGCCTTTTAGTTTAAAAAAAGGAAGAAAAAACAGTAACTCTCCACTGACCTAACACATTGACATTTGTATAACATAAGGCAGGTAAACTATTTCCATTCATTTACTATCTAATACATTAAACATACCTTTTTACTAGAGGAGCAAAAATTAATATTAACATTTGACTCATGGTGAACATGTCCCTTCTCCGCCCTTTCCCCCACAAATATTCAAGGTAGATAATGATTAAAAATGGTCATGGAAAAAGAGAAAGCGGGAAGCCATTAAAATATAACTTCCTGCTTAGTGCAAGAATCAAAATTAAATGCAACATCATCATCATTAGGCCTTTGGTTCCAATTTGTTCCCTCTGCCCTATTTAAATACATAATAAATCCACACTAAAATGCTAAATCACTTTACCTTATTGGCATTTAATACTCTGGAGAACTCTTCGTGGCTCTGCTGAGTGATGAGGACGCTCTCTGCTGACGTGATGCAACCACTGCAGGCCAAGCAGTCGTTGAGGGTAATCTTGGCCTTTTCCAGTTTTTGTGACCCTCCGTCCTAGGAAGGAAGTCATCGAATGGACTGCTGTCAGCATCCTGAAAAAAGTAATCGCGATGGGGATCCACAGGGAAGGCCAAATGAGAGCTGTCGCCACACAAACGAAGCCCCACCACTTTCCTGCGTGCAGCATGGTTGTGTGGCTACCATCTTGATCCTTTTGACGCACATACACACCCTAGGAACAGGTAGTCCTCGACTTACAACACTACATTTAGTGACCGGTCAAAGTTACAACAGCACCGAAAAAAGTGACTTATGGCTGTGTTTCACTCCTACAACCGTTGCAGAATCACAAATTTGGATGTTTGTCAACCAATTTACACTGGTGACGGTTGCAGTATCCCAGGATCATGTGATCCCGTTTTGTGACCTTCTGATGAACAAAGTCAACGGGGAAGTCAGATTCATCTAACAACTGTGTTCCTAATTTAAAAATGGCAATGATTCATTTAACGAATGTGGCAAGAAAAGTTGTAAAATGGGGCAAAACTCCCTTAACAAATGTCTCATCTAGCAACAGAAGTTTTGGGCTCAATTGTGGTCTTAAGTGGAGGACTACCTGTACTCATGATCATTTCCCACTTTTGTTTACAGGGTTCCCACTACCAAAGACAATAGAGCTGTTACAGATTTCTTTTGTTCTGCTCCACAGAGTGATTTGTGCTAGACTATACCCTTGAGAACACTAATCTGTTGTCAAAAGTTGGAGTTTCACAGCAAAAACTGAGGTAAGTTTCTGATTATGACAAAAATGAACCACATCAATTGTTGGTCCTCAAATCTAGAATGCCTTCCAGCCCAACAAAAAGTTCTGCTAAAGATGATTTGTGTTGAACAGTTACCAATCACTTTAAAACATGCTGAAAAAAAGTTTGTTCTATAGTCCCTAAAACACACACAGACAGGGGAAAGAAAACTTTACCTGGTCAACTTGGAAATAAGTTCCATCATCTTCAATACGGATCTTAGCTGCTACTTTCCCAGACTTGTTAACTTTGATTGGTTTTATGCATTCCTGAACGGGAAATCAAACAATTTAATCAATAAGACAACAAACGTCTGTAATAAAAACAAAACAAATATAAAAATATGTGGAATTAAACATTTAAAGTTTAACTTAAACCAAGCTTCCTAGGTGAATCACAAATATAACTATGATCTGGCTGGTACTATATTCATCCCCTTCAGAAAACTCTGAAGTTTTCTGTGAGTCTACTAAATTGATTTCCACAGGCATCACCTTTTCCAAGCTTAAAACATAGATATGGATCTTAGATGTCTAATATGGAAAACAAATGAAGCCAATGCTCCGCAAAAGAGAAAAAAATATTTGAAAAAAATGAAACAAGATGTAATTTGCTTACAGTAAACCTGTATAAGAAAAAAGGGTAAAAAATATTTGATTTACAATATACAAATTATTGCTCAAAAATATTTGTTTTACAAATTATTTTCACCAAGAATTTATATCCTCAGGATCAATGAAGGAAAAGTAAGTTGTTTTGTAAACTCACAGTTGATAGATATATAGAAAAAATCAAATGAGACTAAAATTATAATAATCAGAACATACATATCTAATGAAAACTATATTCTTTAAAGGATTTACAGAAAAATTACTAGATTTTTAATGAATGAATGAAAATTCGTGTGTCTTGGGAAATTGGAATTATTTTTTCAGAATGAGTTAAAAAACTGTTTTTTGCATCAATTAATGCAAGATAAACTGCAAAAAAGAAAACTACCAAAAGTTATGTTTTGAAATGAAAGGGAACTTTTGAGCTCATAGATATATGGAAACATATAAATGGAAATGTTAAAGAACATACATACTTTTCTGAAAGACACAAATCCTTTTCAAGAATAGATACGTTTTGGTTTTCTAAGAAATTAGCTGTATTAGTAAAAACAAAGATACTACCAAACATGATCTCATATTTTAATCCAGTGTCTTTGACATATGAGAAAGCAGAATTTACAGATGAAGGTTAAATGGAACTCTTATTACAAAAAGAATAAGTAATCAAGGTCTATAAAAAAAACCTGAAATTTTTAAAGAATCTAAATAAAAGTACAGACATAAGAAAAAAATGGAGCACAGGTGAAGCTTTTATAAGAGGATAATTTATAAAGAGCAACAAAGTTGTTTAGGAGCCCGGAGACTAAAACATATGAAGAACAGTTGCTGGAACAGTCTATGTCTAGTTTAAAGAAAAGGACTAGGGGAGACATGACGGCAGCCTTCCAATATCTCAGGGGCTGCCCCAAAGAAGGAGTCAAGCTATTCTCCAAAGCACCAGAAGGCAGGACAAGAAGCAACAGATGGAAACTAGTCAAGGAGAGAAGCAACCTAGATCTAAGGAGAAATTTCCCAAGAGTGAGGAAAGTTAACCAGTGGAACGATTTAGTCTTCATCTCGGAGGGATTTCAGGTGAAATCTTAGTAAAACCACACTTGGAATGCTTCATCCAGTTTTGGCCATATAAGAGAGAACCTGAGACTCTTGGAAAGAGTGCAGAGAAGAACAACTAAAATGATTAAATGCCCTGGAGACTAAATCATATAAAGAAGGGCTGCAGGAACTGGGTGTGTCTAGTCTAGTGGAAAGAAGGACTAGTGGGGACAGGAGAGCAGCAGTGTTCCGATATCTCAGGGGCTGTCCCAAAGAAGAAGGAGTCAAGCTATTCTCCAAAGCACCTGAGCGCAGGACAAGAAGCAACGGGTGGAAATGAACTGGGGAGAGAAGCAACTAGGAGAAACTTCCTGACAGGGAGGACAATCAACCAGTGGAACAACTGGACTTCAGAAGGGGTGGGCGCTCCACCACGGGAGGCTTTCAAGAAGAGCCTGGGCAGCCATTTGTCCGGAGCAGGAGAGGGTCCCCTGCTTGAGGAGGGGGCTGCTGGACTAAGAAGGCCTCCAAGGTCGCTTCCAAGCTCCGTTATTCTATGTTCTACATGAGAGCGCGGCCTGTTTCCCGGCTGCTTGCTCCCGGGAGGGGAGCGCCCAAGGCCGGAGGGGAGGGCGAGAGCAGCCTTCCGGGCCCGATGCCAAGTGGACAAGAGGGCCGTCAACAGCCATTGTTTATACCGCCCGGCTCCTTTTACAAACCACGCAGAAGCTTTCACAACGGCCCCAGAACGGAGCTCTTTGAAACTGAGGCCGCTTCCTAGACACGGAAACCCCAACCGCAGCGAGGGTGTGAGGGAAGCCCGTCCTCCCGGCGGCCCTTGGGGCACAACGACGCCGCTTCGGCCAACGGAGAAGGGCAGCTCCTGCCAGCCCACGCTCGCCCACCTGACAGGGCTACCGATAAGGCCTGAGAGGGTCGCTTCGGCCCAGGGAAGCGGACCCCAAACTGGCGCCCACCTGCGAGGGGCCGATGAAATCGTCCAGGTCGGTCAGCTGCAGAGCGCCGCTGAAGGGCGACGCCACCGCCATCTTGCGCCCGCCGTAAAGCGGTCGTAAAGCGCTTCTGCCAAAGGCGGCGATGACGCTAACGGGCCCTTCTGTCGTAAAAGCCACCGCGAGGCAGGCCTACGAGGCTCCGCCCATTTTCTCCGTGGGGGACGGTTTGAGTGACAACGAGGAAGACAAGCGAGGCTCCGCCCATTCTCCTCCTGGGGGTGTGTGTGGCGATTTGAGGGACTGGGAGGCAAACAAACGAGGCTCCGCCCCTTCGCGGGGAGTGGGGGGGCAGGGGAGTAAGTGGCGGTTGGGGGAGAGAAGAGTCTTTGGCTGGGAGGGAGAAACTGACGGGGCATTTCAGAGGCTGCGCACTGGCGTTGGGCTCGAGGACCTCAAGGGGGGTGGATTTCAGAGGCTGCGCACTGGCGTTGGGCTCGAGGATCTCGACGGGGGCGGAATCTCCCAAGGCCGCCTCAGCCGCCGCTGAGTAAATGGGGGCGACCACTCCAATTCACCGTGGGGTCTATTGGCTGCTCCCCCAAAAGCCTCGGGCTGGACTGACCGAACTTCTCAGCCTCCTACCAGCCTTGCGAGGTAGTCCAGACAAGAAGCGCAGCCAGAAGGACTAGCTCTTAAGTTTATTGTTAAGGTTATATTCAGTTTTGAAGACAGCAAAGTCCACTTTTTGAGTAAAGAGGATTTTTTTTGGGGGGGGGGGGGAGAATGCTTTCTCCCTCTAAGGACATGCTTCTCCTTTGGGGAAATATAATATTCTACCCTCTTTTAATTTCCCCCAAAATATTTCAACATCTGAGGAAGGGGGTCTTCTCACAAAGACGCCATTTATGTTAGGATTAAGCAGCCCCCTCTCAAGGGGTCGGGATAAGACACCCACTTATCCCCAATTTACAATGCAAATCCTTTTGGCTATTCCAAGAAGATTCCACACCTCTGGTTCAGGTGACCCTGAGGTCCCAGGTAAACCCCCCAAGGAACCACAATGGCCCTCAGAAAGAATTAAGATAGTTGACTGCACAGAAAACACAATATTTCAACACACACACACACACACACACCCCATCCTGTCAGAACCCATCATTCCCCGCCTCTCACCAACTAATCTCAACTGTCTCTCCATCTCTCCCGCAGCATCCAATGCAACTGATGAAGCTTCCCAGATAGGAATCGGTCCAGTTGCCTTCTCAAACTAAACACCGCTTTTCAATATTCCCAGAATCATGGAATATCAGAACTACCATCGCTGAATCAAGAAGGCATGTCAGGTATCCTTCACTGCACAGCAGCATGCTTGAATTAATTATTTGTTTTGCTTGTTCTTTTTCTGAAGCTTTTCTTCCTTGACTAACAGTCATAAATGATTGTTATTTAGGTGGATTCCAAAGGTGGCGCAGAAGAACCCAGATGAAGGAAGGCAGCGTTTGGATTCTTGGCTTTGGAGGCTGCAAAAAGCCAGCAGATCAAGGACTTGTGCAAAGGAAAACAGGACCTGGATGAAGGGAGAGAACCACTGGGTGTTCATTAGATAACCTGCATACTGTTTCTACTGCTGACCCCCTTTTCCTTTTCCAGATTTCTGGGTGAGGCGGTGGAAGGTATAAAAGGTTGAATAGATCAAGTCTTTGTTGAGGGGGAAGAGAGATTTGTTGATACAAGAAGAGAGTGAGAGAGACATTTTTGTAGATGAGCAGGACTTGGGTTTTCCTCTTTTGGGTTTGACCTTGGAATGGTTGGTTGGCCTTGGAGGGAACCACCGCCGACTAAAACCAGAAATCTTCTCTTCTTTCCCTTCAGAAATGGACTACTGTTCCTTGAACTCATGCGACCAACCAGTGCCAACTTAAAAGGATTTCTTGGGCCCCCAGGGATGACCACCTTGGTAATCTTTGGGCTTTAGGTGCTGGTTGTGTTTTTATACACCTGCGCACCTGTTGCTACTGCTCATTCCAAGAGAATGGCCTCACTACTACCCAGGAAACCCTAGGGCACTGAAAGCAGGGGTAATATTGAAACAAAATGGATAGCTTCGGTGATTACCAGTGTGATCTGCAATGTTTAATATTGGTGTTAAACTGTAAGCCCCTCCTGTAATGCTGGGAGTATGACTAGATAAATCTTGCAATTTTTCACACCCAACCGAGACTTTTAGGCATTTCACTTGATGTTCATAACCTCACTCACATCAGAAGCTCAAGAGATCCAACACAGCTAAATTAGTTATTTTATTGTAGACAAGAAAGAAGCCATATATATATCTCTAGAAGATTTGCCTACTGCAGAAGACAAAAAGTCAATTATTTCTCTCTATCCTTTACATGGTTTAAATTTTAGGCTCTTTTTGAGACTCTGGAAATTTGATGGTTTTCTTTTCAGCCTCATGAAAGACTCCCAACATATCTGTTCTAGGTTTGCAAAATGGTTCTGTCCAGCCCGAGAATCCCTTGTTTCCGTCTCACTAGATCCAGCTCTTGCGAGAATGAAGCCTGATCGTCTGTGATCTTTTGAACCCCAAGTGCCCCTTGCCATTCTTTTGTGGCCTTTTTTGGCACCCTCCAACTACTATCGCTACCAACTGGCAACAGCCCCATTGGCCTTCCAGATTGTGGGGCGGGGTGGTGGTGGTGACGGATAAGGGATTTAATACTGTTAACTTCCGGTTTTTCATCCTCTTCTCATCTTCTATAGTCCCAAAGGTCATCAGATTTCCCATCCTATTTCTGAGCTTGTCCCGGAAGGACAGAAGTAGAGAAGGGGGGAGAGGGGAGATATTCTGCCCCAGTGACATTTTCAGGGGGTGGTGGTTACATACAGAAAGTCCTCGACTTACAGCAGCTGATTTAGTGACTGTTGTAACAGTCTGGAAAAAAGGGAGCCATGACCATTTCCCTCCCCCCCCCCCCCAAGCATTACAGCATTCCCATGGTCCCAGGATCCAAATTCAGACATTTGGCAACTGGCCTGAATTTATGACAGTTGCAGTGTCCCTGGGGTCATGTGATCCCCTTTTGCCACCTTCTGACATGGCCAAGTCAATGAGGAAGCCGGATTCCCTTAACAACCATGTTATTCATTTAACAACTGCAGTAGTTCACTTAACAACTGCGGCAAGAAAAGTTGGGGTTTAAAACTCAGCAACTGTCTTGCTTAGCAACAGAAATTTGGGACTTAACGGTGATCATAAGTTGAGGACTACCTGTAACCAGGTCACTTGAAGTGCATAACAATTTTATTTTCTATCCACACACTTCTTCATCAACTAGCTTGCAGGTTGGGATTCTGGTTAAAGGGCACAGGAAAAAGTTTTAAATGGTGTATTCCTGTTTTCATGAGAGCCTCGTTCGAAACAGGAAGAATAGTTAGCAATAGCACTTAGACTTATACACCATTTTACTGACCTCGGAAGGCCGAGTCAACCTTGAGCCTGGTTAGATTCAAACTGCCAAATTGCAGGCAGCCGGCAGGCAGCAGAAGTAGCCTGCAAGGACTGCGCTCTAACCGCTGCTCCACCGTGGCTCTTCCATACAGTCTGCTTCATTTCCAGTCCCTTGAAGAGGCAGTTTTCCTGTTGGAAAGACTTCAGAATCCACACTCATAAACTGGCATGGACAAAATGGGCCTCCATGCATGAGTGGGAGGCTGCAGAAACAGCAAACTTTGAGCCCAAATCACAGGTTGGCAAAGCTATAAATGCTCTCATTTTGCAACCAGATTGGGACCAGATTATTCCTCCAAAAGCTCCACGGAGGATGGGAAGGAGGCATCACTGGTCACCAAGACCATGCGTGAGCTTTGGATTCCACTTCAAACAAAGGACAAAGCTAGAACAGAAGCCAAACCAAGTTGAATTAAAATTACATTAGAATTCATACGATCATTCCCCAACGCACATTCCCCTTCCGTTGTATTTAAAAAAAGGCAGTATAGACAAGAGCTTTTGAAGGGTCCTGGAGGCTGCAATCATGGATGAGGAGAGCTGGATGCCATTACGGTGCACCACAGCTGCAGAAGGTGATGGGTTTAACTCTTTTTGCTGGCTCCATTTGACACACACACCCCACAATTGCAAAAAAAATTCTACCCTGTTTCTGCCAAAGAGCCCTTCCAAACACCTGGGGTTGTCCTTCTGATTTAAAAAAGAAACCCTGTTTTGTCGCCAAAGGAAATGCCACCGGCATGTCCAAGTGAAGATGGGCGAAAAATGTAAAATAAAAGCAATGACAGCAATAGGTTTACAAGCAACAAAGCAGAGAAGGAAGTTGGCACATGGAAAGTCCCAATTCCCTTTAGGCAACTCCTGCGTAAAAGAGGATCATGGCTTGGAACAGATGCTGTGAGTCTTCCAAGATCCATAACTTCCACCTGGAGAGGCCTGCAGACCCTCCGGGCAGTACAGATAAGAGTCCAACGTTAGCAGACACGCGACGTGGAGGGATGTTGAGTTTCACTGTGTGCTTCAGAAGAGACCACACTTCTGCAAAGGGATTCCTTGGGTGGGTCCAACGGCTGCTTTCTCCTTGGAATCCCAACCGTCATTTCTATCTTCAACAGTGCTCTGGATCCATGGCAGTAGAAGTGCACTTTCCAGACTTGGGCACTAGGAGCCCATTGCAAGAAAGCAAACTTAGGAATTCAAATTCCAGGCCAAGCTTTGAAACCCGAAACCGATCATTTAGCCTTTGCTAGGTCAAAAGGAGATGGCCGAGGACATCCAAAGCATGTCCAGATTATTATTATTATTTAGCCAGAAGCAGTTTGTGCTGGAGGTGAGCATGATCAAACCAATCATTAAAAAAAAAAGAAGCGCTTTATGAATTCCATCTTTCTTTCCTATTAGTGAAAATATATATTATATGTATATACATATATATTTATGATCTTAAATAAACTATTCTCCGATTCTGAGAAGATATTTGGCCTCTCTCGGTGCAAGGTGGGATCCTGGCTACTTGAAATCTGCCAGAATATCGCTGAAGATGTTCAGGAAAAGATGCGCGTGGTGGTCTCGGAAGACTAGAGTGGGTCGGAAAC